GCAAAGTGAAGGGTTTCTGTGTCAGACGAGACAAGTTGCAAAAGACAGACAAAGAGATGTTGAATTGAGCGTGAATTCCGCCGTGACTTTTGGTCGGGGCAGGTGTGCGGAGGCTCTGCGTGCGTTTATAATCCCTGGAGCTCGGGGCGGGAGTGCTATCCGTCTTGTTGGACAGTTAGTTATCCTGCTCTTTAGGATGTGACAGAGTGAAAGTTCACAGCTCTCGGCTACCGTCCTGTCCTGCCCTGAGCTGATCAAGGCTTCGCATTCCGCTTCTAAACATTCCTGCTGTTTTACTGGCCCAGTGTCTGTCAGGCTCACTGCTCATCACCCAATGTGGATCTGTTCAGCTTGTCTTTGTGCTGGAGAGAGAGCGACGGCTGGTGGTTTTTTTTGGGTGGGGGGTGGTTTCAGCTAATAGAATTGTCTCCGGCTCAATCCCTCTGCCTTGTCCATCTTCCGGTTGCCCTTCCTCTTCGGCCGGGCTCTCCCTCCTCACGCTGCTCTTTCTAACCTTTCCCGGCATGAACGAACGAACGACCCTCCGTAAGGTACACCGGGAAAAGATGAAATCGGACCGTCACTCAATCCTGTTTGTGGGACGCCACAAAATATACAGTTACTCCGCTTTACAGTATGACGGTATATTCTGTGAAGCGCTTGGAGACATCTCAACGACGCGCGAGATCAAATGCGAGGATTATTGTTGTTTTTAAATGTGTGGACGCCTCAATAGCCAGGGCCGTCCCCTGGTGTGAGGGCAAGACACCTCGTTCCTCAGTCGTGTCTGCTTTAAGCTTGGAGTCTCTGCTATCAGATCTCTGGCTTCTCGTGCAATCTTCTGCATTCCTGATGAGAAATGAGCCGAGTGTTACTGATCCCTCCGCTGATCAGCACTCGTTGCCCTCGGCCACTCCACCTCTCAATACAGTGGCTCACTGCCAGAAATTACAACACGTTTGTAGCCCAAAGTCAACCAAACACTGGCCCAACAGTAGCCCAATATTACACGTTGCCTCCGAAAATAATAATTCTTGCATTTGATAACAACAACATCTTGCATTTATAAGGCGCCTGCACCCAGGGAGACGTCTCAGAGCGCTTAATAGTGGCAGAACCCGATGCCAAGTCCAGGGGAGGGGGAAGGTGACCCCCAGGCCCGCTCGTAGGGGAAGGTCTTCAAGTGCGACTTGAAAATGTGGAGAGTGGGGGCAAGGCGAAGGGTTCCACAGCTTCGGGGCGTAGTGGCTGGAAGCACAGCCGCCGATGGTGGGGAGGAGGCTCCGGGGGAGATAAGGAGGAGGCCGGAGCCAGTTGATCGGGTGGTGACATAGGGAGAGAGCGAGTTGGAATGGCAGTGTAGGGGGAGTGTTACTCTGGCGCTAACCTGGGCTGGGGCTGGCCTGGGAGTGTGGATGTGGCAGTCAGTGGTTGCAATGGAAATCTAGTCGTGAGGATGTCTCTCTACTAGACACAGAACGAACACCATGAAAAGCTGTGTGTGCCCAGGGCTGTGTGCACTCACCCGGAATCAGCATCAATGGTCTGAGAGCAGGCAAGGCGGGGGCTGACAGGCTGAATTGATGCCCCCGCAGGGATGTGTGCATGCATGTTTGTCAAGGGAAAGTTGGAACGATTCTGACAGCTAAATCTCTCTCTCTGTCTATCGGTTCCTGGCCTGAACTGCTGATGAACAAAACAAGAATGAACCTGACATCTGATACCGGAGAAACTCTCTTCTCTTTTCAGATTGTGCCACGGGATCTTTTAACGCCCACCTGCACAGGGGAGAGACACACAGTTAGAAACAGTGACAGTATTCCTCGCATTTCATACAGCGCTATCTCACGTTGCCCGGACTTCTCGAAGCAAGCCCTTCGCTGGATTTTACTGTCTTTTCCCAGTGTCCTGACCGACAATCCCGCCCCCAGATGAAATTGGTTGCGCTCATATTGGCTGCCATATTCGCCTACAAACTACACAGTCACTACACTTTTTTCAGTAAAATCCTGTGGAAGTGTATTTGGAGGCCAAATGCATTGCAGCATTTTGGGAGGAGGGGGTGTGTGGATAGTGGTACAGAGCAGGTCCCCAAGTGGGACTTAAGAGTTAATATAAAAGGCCTTTACTGTAGATTGCAAGTGAATGTATTATAGCTTTGTGCGTATGAGGGTCAGACTCTGCCGTTGAAATTCCTGCTTAATCCCTCTTCGACCAGACCTTCAGGCACCCACCTACCGCCTACCCTGCCTGCCCTCCACCCCCTCCTGATCCCAGCCACCAGCTCGGGTGCAAACCATTAACTGTCCGGCGCCTTGGGACGTCCTCCCGACGTGAAAGGCGCTGTTTAAATGTCACTTGTTGTTGTTGCTCAGTGCCGCTGATCTGAGACAGAGCTGCGGTTGAGTGAGTCAGATACGACAACAACAACTTGACTTTATATAGCCCCCACCCCCACCCCCAGGCAGGGTAGGGTCCTGGAGAGCGTTTGACTTCATCTTCTCCCCGTGAACCTTGGGTACCAGGTGAGAGATGGCTTGTGCTGGGCAAGGTTAGACCGAAGGGTGTGAAGAGAGAGCGAGAGCGAAAGAGAGCAAAGGAAAAGGAAACATTTTCCCAGAGAGGGGATGACGGAGGGTGTGGGGGTGTTTGTCAATCATCAGGTATGGGTGCGGGGGAGGAAAAAGGAGGGGAAAGGGAAAATCGTTCAAAAGAAAAATTGTTCCATTGATAAAAGGCGGAGAATAGTACATTCCTTCAAGAGCGCGGGCGGAGGGAGTGGGTGGGGGGGGGGTTGGGGCGAGAGGGAAGGGGGAGGGAATATATTAAGCGACAACACAAACAAGGGATTGAGCGTTCTGTCACGCACGGCTGGACTTTAGAAACGGTTGGACGTGAGAGAATAGAATTAGGAATTTTTTTTTTTTTTTGAAAACGTGACCGAGAGGGGGAGAGAGCGCGAGGGAGACGGGGAGAGGGAGAGGGGGAGCGAGAAAGACACTGAGGACAGAGAGCGTGTGTGGGGAGAAGGGGTGTCTTTTGCAAGTCTTCCTGAATGAAATGTCGGATGGATTCTTTGTCAGCCTTTTACCGTTGCTCTCTTCATTTGCCAGAGTCGTGTTTGGCGCCGTCTCTCACCCTTTCTCTCATTCCCTCCCCCCCCACTCCCTTCTCTCTCTCCCTCTCTCTCACACCCACACTTGCTCGTTCACTGTTTCCCTATTTTATCAAAAGAATCCTAAGTCCCAGCGGCTCCTGTGTTACGAAGCTTGTTAATCGAGTTGCACGGAGTGGCTGTGGGTTGGAGTGAGAGCATCCGAGCGCTGTCTGTTCCAGTGCCAGTCAGTGCACTTTACAATGTGTCCTGTGAAGCGCTTTGAGACGTCTCGAAGACGTGATAAGGCGCTGTGTCAAATGCAAGGATTAGTATTATTATTATTATCACTCGGGGTTTAATGAGGAGAACGAGCTGGAGACTGACTAAGGCATGTGAACTGTGCTCTCTCTTTCTGTCTGTCTCATTCCCTCTCTCATTCCCTCTCTCCATCGCCCTCTCCATCGCCCTCTCTCTCTTTCTCACACGCTTTGAGTTTAAAGCGGAGAGTGGGTGGGAGTCGAGAGCTTGCGAAGGGGATAAGCTTTAGCGTGTGAGTGTGAGAGAGAGGGGCAGGTCCTGGCTGCACAGTGGCCATTGGAACGTGAGTGAGTGGATGAGGGCGGAGGTGGTGGTGGTGGGGGGGGGGGGGCCGGACAGCGATGTGGTGGGGGGGGGGTGGAATTCCGGGAGTATGCTTGAGCCGTGACGAGGGTTTGATTCGACGTGTTAAAGCTCTCGGAGCTCGGATCCAAACTGTGCCGGAGAGAGACTGGAATCAGCAGGACGGGCAGCGAGGCATGTGTGTGTGAGCCATCCGGGAGCACACGTGTGTGTGTGTCCCCTCGCTGGAAGGGGGAGCGGGGAGTGCGGGGGGGCGAGTGCGAGACGCTCTGTGTGATCGGGGCCTGGGTAGCCACAAGTCGGCAAGGTTTGACGTGAATCCTGCAGGAGACTGAAAGAGAGAGGGAGGGAGGGAGCAGCCATGGGTCAGGCAGCTTCCTGCACACAGACAGGTTGGTGGAGATTTCCTGCTTACACAACAACAACAACAACAACTCGCATTTACCACAGCGCTCCCCGCCCCCCCCCACCCACCCCCTCACGCAGTGTTTGAGAGTGGCGGAGCACGACGCCGAGCCGGGGGGAGGTGACCGTAGGCACGGGCGGTCAAAGAGGAAGGTCTTCAGGCGCGACCTGAAGATGGGGAAGGAAGGGGCAACGTGGAGGGATAGAGGAAGAGTGTTTCCGGAGTTTGGGGGTGTAGTGGATGTTGTGCGCGTGCGTGTGTGTGTGTGCGCGTGTGTGTGTGTGCGTGTGACTGACGGGCTGGCAGATTGATGCCCTGATTTTGCTGCCTGTGGCCTCGCTGTGGCTGTGACCCTCAGTGAATCAGCTAACGATTAACAGCGAGCATTGTGCTGTGACCTCCCCAAGAGCATTAAATTACCAGAGCCCGGCCCGGCCCGGCCAGCGAGCGCCACACAGGAACTCCAGCCGGGCTGTGGCTCCGCAGCTGGTGCCCAGGGCTGGGAATCTGAGCAGAACGGCTCTGGACACTCGTTTCTCTGCCTTTTTAACAACAACAACTTGCATTTGCGCCGGGAGGCGTCCCAGGGCGCTTGACAGTGGTGGAGCACGACGCCAAGCCTGGGGGAGGGGGAGGTGACCGATGGGGAGGGAAGGAAGGGGCTAGGCGGAGGGATTGAGGGAGAGTGTTCCAGAGTTCGGGGGCGTAGTGGCTGAAAGTGCCGATGGTGGAACGCAGGGCACGAGGGACAAAACAAGCAGGTCACAGAGGTAGGGAGGTACCAGGGCATGAAGGTACCCATCTGTCCTGTCTCATTCTCTCTCTCTCTCTCTGTGTCCGTCCTGTCTCACTCGATGTTTCTCTGTGTAATTACAGAGCTGCTGGGATCCTCCAAGAGGCTGAATGTTAATTACCAGGATTCGGATGGGTGAGTGCTCACAGTCCCCACACACTAACCCGCTGACCCTCTGCCGTAAATCACACTGTGCGGGTAGGAGTGGGTGAGGTGGGGGCGGGGGGGGGGTAGGGGTAGTGCGGGGATGGGGTCTGCGCGGGGTGGGAACGGCTGGTATTGACAGCTCCAGGGGGTCTCGTTGCTGATTCAGATCATCGCTCAGACACAAACAACCAGTGACACCCCCTCCCCATCCTCAACTCGCCTCCCCTCCCCCCCCTCCTTCCCTCCCTCCCTCCCTCCACACTGGGAACAGGACGCTCCTTCAGGAGCAGAGGCGAGGGAGTGCGAGGTGTTGTTGGTTATGTGGCCTCGGGAAGGTGACTCACCCAGAAAACATTCCCCCAGAACACGTTGCTGCTCGTTCAGCTGATGATGTGTCAGACATTCCGCTCAGCGTCACGCTTTGTGTGCGCAGGTGAAGTGAGACACTCCTCCCGGGCACACGTGTGCGCGATGTGTGTGTATGTGCACGCATGTTCGTGTCTGAGTTCGATGTGATGTGTGTGTGCAATGTGTGTGCGCGCGCGCGTGTTTGAGTCTATGCTGTATGTGGGCTGCGTGTGCGCGACGTGTGTGTCTGTGCTGTGTTTGTGTGCTGTGTGTGTGCGTGAGCGATGTGTGTGCTGTGTGCGCGCGCGCTGTGTGTGTGTGTGCGAGCAATGTGCGTGTGTGTGTGCTGTGTGTGTATGTGTGTGCTCTGTGTGTGTGTGTGCGAGCGATGTGTGCGTGCTGTGTGTGTGTGTGCGCGAGCGAGCGATGTGTGTGTGTGTGTGCGCGCCCGAGCGATGTGTGTGTATGCGCGTGCTGCGTGTGTGTATGTGTGTGTGTGGATGAAACGCGAGCGGACATGGGAGTCAGGTTGTGACTCGCAGAGAGAGTGGAATGTGAGCGTGTTTGCAGCGAGGAGGCAGGATGCCGGGGTACTTGCCGGAGTGACGCTCTCGCTAACCGTGGGCCGAGTGCAGCTGTTTTGACCGCGAGTGCAGCTTCTCCCCTCAGCTCCGCTCTGCTGAGGGGGAGCATTGTGAGTGACTCACGAGGAGGCCGACAAACTCCGAGCTCTGTCTTGTTCAGCTCCGAGTGAAAGGAGAGCCGTGTAACGATGATGTAACTATAATAATCCCTGTCTTTCAATACAGCGCATTATCACATCATCCAGAGGCACCTCAAAGCGCTTCGCAGAATATACTGCAACGTGTGGTGACTGTGTATTTCGTGGGCAGCCAATGGCGCACAGCAGCGAGATAATGACATAGCAACAGTAGCCCCTGCCTTTGAACCCAGCGCATTATCACGTCGTCCAGGCGTCTCAAAGCCCTCCGCAGGGTTTTGCAGTGAGGTGTAGTGACTGTGCATGTTGCAGGCCAAACCCAATTTGCGCAAAGCAATGCCCCGCAAGCGAATGACTGGTTTTATCTGGGGGATTGTCGGCCAGGACACTGGGGGAGAGAGAGAGAAAAACTCCCTTCAGTGCCGCCGGATCTTTAACCTCCACCAGAACAGTCAGACGAGGCCTCACTTGAGCCTCCAACAACCCCCCCCCAGCGCGGCGTGGATGCTGATGCGTGTGCTCTTCCCCGCAGGTTCTCGGCTCTGCACCACGCTGCTCTCAGCGGCAGCACTGAGCTCATCTCTCTCCTGCTGGAAGCTCAGGCAGTCATCGATATAAAGGACGGCAATGGTGGGTATCACTGACTCTCATTGGGAAATGGCTTTATTTTAGCAACGTGCCTTTCTACTCTAACCCCATTCCCTTTTCTTTCTCTCTCTCTCTCTCTCTCTCTCTCTCCCCCTCTCTCCCTATCGTGTCCGTGCTGGTGCTCGCTCCCCCACTGGGGCTCTCCACTCCAATCCCAGGAGGGAGATCTTTGTACCCAATATAACCAGGGCTTTTCCTGTTCGCTTTTGACCGCGGTGACCGAGACGTGACTGTGTGACACTCGCTGTGTGTTCTCTGCACTGACGCTCTTCTCTTTGTTCCCGGTTGTGGTTGTTGTTGTTGTTGGCGTTGGGGCAGGAATGCGCCCCCTGCACTATGCGGCCTGGCAGGGGCTGGTGGAGCCCGTACGTTTACTGCTGCGGGCGGGGGCGGTCGTCAACATGGCCTCACTGGACGGGCAGATCCCACTACATCTCTCGGCCCAGTATGGACATTACTGTGTGGTAGGTACCGACCAGAACGCCACCCTACCTCAGGGGCGCTGTATACATGCGAGTTGTTGTTGTTGGGGCGATGCTGGGGCCTGGAAGGTTGTAGGTTCACAGCCTCCCCTCAGGACCCCTGACGTCAATGCTGTCACTGGAGCCATTGCCATCAAGAGCCCTGTCTGGCAAGCTTTCCCGCTGCTTGTGCAGCTTGGACCACCCGACTGACCCGTGAGGGCTTTGATTTGTTAGGATAATGAGGGCTTTGGGGCTGAGACCGGGTGGAGTTTGGGGTCTGGTTTCACAGTGGGCAGCAAGGCCACTCTGACGCTTTCTCTCTCTCCCCGTTGCCAGTCGGAGATGCTCCTGCAGCACCAATCCAACCCCTGCATCGTCAACAAGGCCCGCAAGACCCCGCTGGACCTGGCCTGTGAGTTCGGCCGACTGAAGGTGAGGCGTTGAGGGGTCAGTGCAGATTGTAGTGCAATGGAGATCAGAGTCGTAGACATTTACAGCACAGAAGGAGGCCATTTGGACCATCAACTCCCCCCACCTCACGCACCCCCCACCCAGCTCTCACAGCAAGCTGTCCACACAATCCCACTGCCCCATCCCCACACCCTTCAAGCCTCTCCCTCCCTCACTCACATTCCTAACACAGTTTATACGCCCACAAAGCATACAGTCAATTCACTTTATAGTGTGTCCTGTGAAGCGCTTTGAGACGTCTCGAAGACGCGATAAGGCACTGTATCAAATGCAAGGATTATTATTATTATTATTGTCTCACTGCCTGTAATATTGGAGGTTGTACTGGCTGGCTGGCTGTCTGTCTCTCTGACTGTCTCTCTGGCTGGCTGGCTGTCTGTCTGTCTCTCTGGCTGTCTGTCTCTCTGTCTCTCTGGCTGTCTCTCTGGCTGTCTGTCTGTCTCTCTGGCTGGCTGGCTGGCTGGCTGACCGATGGCTGTGTTCACAGGTTGCCCAGTTGCTGTTGAAGAGTAACATGTGTGTGGCCCTGCTGGAGGGACAGTCTAAGGACAGCCACGACGCCAACTTCACCACCCCCCTGCACCTGGCCGCCAAGAATGGCCACAAGGACATCATCGGGTAATAGCTCTTCACCAGACCGGGAGAGAGTCACTGGTCACAGTCATTTTTTTTGTGTGGCGCGGAGAGGTGGGGGTCAGCCGGGCATCTGACACACACACACATGGAAACGCGTCCCCGTTGCTTAAGAGTCTCCAAACCGAGCTGAGAATTCCATGAATCCCACCCACACATGGAAATCCCAGAGATAGATTATTGGGATGGAATACGCTCTCTCTCTCTCCCTCTCTCCCTGGAGCGACGCAGGCCGCTCACCTAATTATGGAGCGTATTAGGCGCAGGTTGGTGAGAGCCGAGGCTTGGGTGGGAGGGAACCCAGAGTGTGATTACAGTAACAATTAGAACAACCACCATTGATAACAATGGTTATAATTAGTAATAATTACCTAATAATAACCGGTACCAACTTATCACTGTGCGCGATCGGCCGCCGCCGCGTTTCACCCACAAAATCCGCAGTTACGGAGCTCGCTCTCCCGCTCGGTCTGTCTGTCGGTCGCAGGTTGCTGATCAAGGCCGGGATCGACAGCAACAAGGTCTCCAAGACGGGAACCGCACTGCACGAGGCCGCGCTGTGCGGGAAAACACAGGTGGTGAGGCTGCTTCTCGAGGTGAGCGGCAATACACAGGCCTGGGCTGTGACCCATCACGCGGGGCGCGTGTGTGTGTGCGTGTGCGTGTGTGTGCGCGCACACGTGTGTGCGTGCGTGTGTGCCTGTGTGTGCATGTGTGTGTGTGTGTGTGCCTGTGTGTGCGGGCGTGTGTGTGCGTGTGTGTGTGTGTGACTGTGTGCCTGTGTGTGTGTGTGTGTGTGCGTGTGTGTGCGTGCGTGTGTGTGTGTGTGCGTGTGTGTGTGCGTGTGTGTGTGTGACTGTGTGTGTGTGACTGTGTGTGTGACTGACTGTGTGTGTGTGTGTGCGTGTGTGTGTGTGTGCCTGTGCGTGTGTGTGTGTGTGTGTCAGCCTGTCTTGGGAACTCACTCGGATCTGCTCGCCCGCCCCAGGCCGGTATTGACGTGAACATCAGGAACACTTACAACCAGACGGCCCTGGACATCGTCAACCAGTTCACCACCTCGCAGGCCAGCAAGGAGATCAAACAGCTACTGAGAGGTCAGGGGGGTGGGCGGAGGGGGGTGCGGGGGCGTGTTGGGGGTGGGGGTTAGGAGGAGGTTGGGGGTTAGGGGAGGGGAATTGGGAGGTGGGCTGGGGTTGGATTGTCTGGTCAGTGCGTAGCCCCAGGGCACAAGCCAGAACCTCAGCCACTCTCCACTGCTGAGACTCTCTAAACCTCTCCCGCCAGCACCTGGGGCAACAGCTTCAGACAGAGCCCAGAGTCGGGGGCTGCTCCCGGGTGGGTGGGTGGGTGGGGGTAGTACCGTGCCATGCTCGCGCTCCGGGGCTCCGCATCACCCACGCTCTACAATAAGCTGTCGATCCACGACCGTTCGCCAATTAGAAGAAGATCGCCGTGAATAGTAATGATTATAATTAGTCGTAATGACCCCTAATAATAACCAGTAACGACCAACCACTGGGCGCAAGTGGCTGCCCCGCTTCGCCCGCCGCAGAGTACACCGTCACTCCGCTTTGCGGCATATTCTGTGAAGCGCTTTGAGGCGTCTCGACCCGGCGTCAGATTAAAGTCTTGTTGTCCTAATAATCTTCCCGACAGAGGCCTCTGGGGTGCTGCAGGTACGAGCCCTGAAGGACTATCGGAACATTCACGACCTGACCTCGCTCAACATCCGCGCCGGTGACGTCATCACGGTCAGTCAACCCCCAGCTCGAGACCTGAGCATCAAAGCTGCGGCAGCCGGGCTCAGCGTTGGCGCTCTCTCTCTCTCTCTCTCTCTCTCGCTCTCGCTCTCGCCTCGTGAGTCACGAGGTTTGTGGGTTCAAGCCCCCAGGTCGGGGCGGGGCCTGACGATCACAAAAGTCTTTAGCCGAAAAGAGAAGGGAGTTCCCCGCTGGCCAACGATCGCCAACAAGTAAAATGCGGTCACTCGATCCACGACTGTCTGTGGGGCGCTGCCGTGCTCAAACTTGGCTGGCCGCGTTTCTCTCCCCAAAGTACACAGTCACTACACTTCACAGTGTATCCTGTGAAGCGCTTTGAGACGTCTCAACGACGGGGGATAAGGCGCCGGGTCGAATTCAAGGAGTAGTGTTATTACGCTTTATACCTGAGCTTTACATGATCAAGAGACTGACCCAGCCCCTCTCCCCCCCCTCTCCCCCCCCTCCCCCCTCTCTCTCCGCGGCAGGTCCTGGAGCAGCACGCTGATGGCCGCTGGAAAGGCCACATCCACGACAGCCAGCGAGGCACCGACTGTGTGGGTTACTTTCCCCCCGCCATCGTGGAGGTCATCAGCAGGAGGTCAGGTCAGTGTCCAGCACTCAGAAAACCTCCGGTCAATGGCTCTCCCGCTGCCCCCTCCCCCCTCCCCCCCCCCCCCCACACTCTCTCTCTCTCTCTCTCTCTCTCTGTCTCCTCTCTTTTGCTCTCCTCTCTCTCCTCTTACTCTCCTCTCCCTCCCCCCTCTCTCTCTCTCCTCTTCTATCCATCACCTCTGTGAAGCGCTTTGAGATGTCCGTCCTACTTTAAAGGTGTTCAGTTCCAGCTCTGATGGTGTGTCTGTATACTGAGGGGGTGAGTGTGAGGGGATGAGTGTGAGGCTGAGTGATGGGGGTTGTGGAGTGACTGTACGCGTCTGGCTCACTCACTGCCCTCTCTCGCCAGCAGGGGGCACACTGACCCGCCACGCCTCGGTGCCCACCCACCAGCGCCAGGCGATGCCCAGGACCCCCCAGAAGGACGGCTCGTTCCAGCTTTGCCAGACCTTGCCGGCCCCTCACACCTACAGCCACGCCTCTTTCAGCCAACCCCGCCCAGACCCCGCCCCAGGTAACCCAGCCACACCCCCTCACACCTGCAGCCACACCCCCTCGCACCTGCAGCCACACACCCTCACACCTGCAGCCACACGTCCTTTACAGAGAGACTCCCTTGTCTTTACCGCAGCCCTGCTGACCCATAGCCGCACACATCAGCTCTCCCTATCTGTGCAGGTCATGGTCTGCAGAGCCTTTACCAGGGCGGCGCTCCAACGCCTCCGAGGCTGTCTGGGTCCTCAGGCAACCCGGTAAGCATGTCCCCCCCCACCCACTCCTCCCCGCTATAGAATAGAACAACTAGAATCCATGTCAGACCCTGACCTTGTGTGAGGTTAGGAATAGCGTTCAGTGCTTTCAGTCCTGATCAGTGCTTCCTCAGACCTTCCCCTCCACCCAACACCCTCTGCTTCTCTTCGCACTCGTATTCCTACTGGAGTTGATGAAAAGGGAGTGTGAGCGGCACGTGAGTACAGAGGGTCTGGGAAAGACATGAGAATTGGGATTAGGAAGAACGTCTCCACTGGAGGAGCGAAGCAAACACCAGCACTAACACGGGGGGTGGTGGGTGGGGGGGCGGTGTGGGGGGCCAACTGCCTCCTGATGGGGGTGGCAGGATGATTCCCATGTTGTGTGGTGGCTGGCGACGCTGTGTGAGGTGGACACTGAGAGGAGCTGCCCCAACACCCCACGAGGATGGACACTGGTTGGTAGGTGCTGACCGACAACCGATCACAGGGGGAAGTGATGTCAACTGGAGACGGTATCGTTCGGGGGTCAGCTCAGATGGATTGACGGTGACCTCCCCTCCCACTCACCGCGTCCCTGTCACACTGGGTATCTTTAAGCTCTCCGACACGCCATCCGGCATAAAGGGCACTATATAAACGCGAGTTGTTGTTGTATCTCCCCCGACCCTCTGTTCACTCCGATGTTTTGTGTCCAGCAGGAGACAGGAACAGTGTGGGCAGCGTGGGCAGTACCCGCAGTGCAGGCAGCGGGCAGAGCACCGAGAGCGCCGGGGGTCAACCAGGCCCTGCCAGCCCGGAGAACTGCAAGGTACGGCAAGGGCCCACCGTAAGGGCTGGGCCTTAATGGTGTTACTCACTGAGTGTCTCTCCTCACAGTCCAGGCTGGACAATACAATACTAAATGACCGTTGTATAATCCGCGCCTTTCACGTCAGGAGGACGTCCCAAGGAGCTCCAGTGCAGTCCTGGGGCAGCGCTGAATCGTCTATTGATAATAACCCTTGCATTTGGTGCAGCCCCTTATCGTAAGGACATCTCCCAGCGCTTCACAGGACTTACTGTGAAATGGAGTGACTGTGTATTTTGTAGGCAAACGCGGGGCACGACTGTATACGGCAACGTGGGTTGAGTGACCAAATTTTTTAAAAATGTTAAAGATCCCATTGGGTCACAGTTTCCCCAGATGTGTTGACATCACAGCCATTACACCAAATGTCAGGGTTATTACTAGTAATAATAACACTAACAATCATAGTAACAATCGTAATAATAAATGGTACGAATGTGATTTGACCGTAGCCTTGTGTTTGTCCTCTGGCAGACATCGCCCCCTGCGGGAGACCAGGGACATCACAAGGTGTTTGTGGGCAGTGAGCTGGAGGAGCCAGGGGCAGGTAAGGTCTGAGGGCGGGCGGGAGGGCGGGCGGGGGAAGCTAAGCTCTGTTGTGGCCCCCAAGGCGGTTGACTCTCGCTCAGGAGGGCTGATGATTCCAGCGGATCAGGTTTCAAAGCTAAAAGGAGCCTTTGAGTCAACACGTGTGGAACAACCTTCTGTTGTTCGGAGGCGGTCACCTGCCCAAACCTGCCTCGCGCTCACTCTCTCTCTGTCCCCCCAGCCCAGCTCCCCAGCGAGAGAGAGAGAGAGAGAGAGAGAGCAAGGTGCCTCCTGGCTTCCTGTCCCAGCCCTGACTTATTACAGCAGTAAAAAGAATCCATGTATTTGATGTGGCGTCTGTCACATCAGGAGGACTCTTCAGAGCGCTGTGAAGTGTGACTGTATTTTGTCACTCTGCCTCCCGCCTGACGTGCTGTGTGTGTTGTGCAGGGATGGAGAGAGCCCCGGGGGTGTTGGGGTACAGGTGCATGGAGCCGGGGTACTCACTGCAGTTCATGCATCCTGACCAGCTGCTGGAGGGCAAGGTAAGGCCAGCCTGACACCCCCTCACCCCCACCCCCCAGCGTGTTGGCTTTTGTGTGTGTGGGGGGGTATGTATGTATGGATGGATGGGTGGGTGGGTGGATGGATGGATGTGCGAGTGTGTGCATATGTGTGTGTGCGCACGTATGCATGTGTCTGTGAGTGTATGTGTGTGTGTGTGTGCGCGTGTATGTATGTGTCTGTGTGTGAGTGTGTATGTGTGCGTGTGTTCCCGTATGTGTGTGTGTGTGTGAGCGTGTGTCTCTCACTCACTCACTCACTGCGTGTATGCGTGTGGGGCAGGATGTGTGTGTGTGTGTGTGTGTGAGCGAGCGTGTGTCTCTCACTCACTCTCCGTGTGTGTGTGTGCGTGTGGGGCAGGATGCTGAGGCTATCTATAACTGGCTGAGTGAGTTCCAGCTGCAACACTACACGGCTAACTTCATCACCGCGGGGTACGACGTGCCAACCATCAGCCGCATGACCCCCGAGGTGAGTGAGTGTGTGTGTGTGGGGGAGGGGGGGTGGGCTCGGGGGGGTATGGGGGCTGCGGTGGTTTGGCAAGTGTGGGTTGTGGAGGGGATGGAGACAGCACTCTCTCCCTCTGAGACGTGGAGCCTGAGTTGCCCCGAATCTCGGTGCAGTGAACACCAGGATACATTCAGTGTCGGGGAGTGCCGGAGTGTAACGGTGAGGAGGTTCCGGTTGTTAGCTGATCGGCGGATCGCTTTCCCGGGGGGTAATAGTCGCTTCAAGTAATAATAATAACGACTTGGTCACTCAACCCACGACTGTTTGTGAGGACGCTGCTGTGCGCAATTAATTGGTGCCACGTTTCACCCACAAAACTGCCGTGACCTTGTCTCCAGGACCTGACAGCGATCGGCGTGACCAAGCCCGGCCACAGGAAGAAAATCTCCACCGAGATCGGCAAGATGAGCATCCCAGATTGGCTCCCCGGCTACAGACCGGTGAGTACCTGCCCCCCAACCCCTCTCCTCCCCTCCCCCCTCCACCTCAGCCCCACTCTCGCTGCCCCGCCCTCACGCCCCTGCCACGCCTTCACCGCGAGCGTGTGTGACTGTGTGCGTGTGTGTCTGGCTGCAGGCTGACCTGTCGGAGTGGCTGAGCGCCATCGGCCTACCCCAGTACCACAAGCAACTGGTGGACAACGGCTACGACACCATCAACTTCATCACAGAGATCACCTGGGAGGGTCTGCAGGAGATCGGGGTCACGCAGCTCGGTACGTCGCCTGTCGCTGTGTCTGCGCTGTGTCTGTCGCTGTGTCTGTCGCTGTGTCTGTGTCACCGTGTGTGTAGTAAGTGCTCGGGGACGTTACCCTGTGTGACGGGCACTGCATAAGTTGTGTCCAAAAATTAATCACCAAGAAAGGTCAGGGTCGTGGTTTGACCTTTGCCCCCTCGGTGCCAGAGCCCGGCTGTGCCCGTGTCCGTGTCCTAGCCGTGTGCGTGCGCGTGTCTCAGCCGTGGGCTGAGGGCACGTCTCGCTGACTGCTGTCCTGTCCCCGTGGGTCGGCTTCTCTCCACAGGGCACCAGAAGAAGATGATGATCGCAGTCAAGAAGCTTCTGGAAGTGCAGAAGGCCATAAGCCAGGCGGAGGCGCAGGCCAAGACGGCCACGTTGCGCCGGAAGGTTCCGCGGGCCCTCGACATCGTCACCATCGAGCCGGCAACGGCTCTGGCGGCCCCCGAGAGCGGAGACTGCCCCTCCCCCCACACCCCCAAGATGCTGACCTTCCAGGACAGTGAGCTGAGCTCGGAGCTGCAGTCGGCCATGTCGGGCTCGGGCCTAGGCTGCCCGGAGAGCCTGGGGCTCAGGCCCGCGGCCGGCGGCATCTCCCGCAGCCAGGAGAGCATCGGGGTGAGGTCCCGGGGCTCGGGACACTCCCAGGAGCACCTGCTGGGGGGCGGCCAGTCCCAAGAGAGCCTGGGCGGGGAGGGCCCACGGCCCCCCGGAGACACCGCCAGCCACTGGGAGCCCCTGAACGGCTTCAGCTGCAGCCCGAGCAAGGAGCGGAAGGTTCCGGATGGACGGGATCACTACCCCAGGCCCGTGCTCCAGAGGTCGACCAACGGGGTGAGGGTGGGGTCCACCCAACCCTCTCTCTCCCCCGGCTTCACCCCTCCCCCCACCCGAGGCAAACCCAAGCTCTGCCCCGCCCTGGAGCGCGGCCCCAACTCCCCGGCTCCTCTGCACCAGCAGCAGCAACGGGCACCGGCGTCAAAGGCCGGGTCTGGCTCCCCCACGCACCGGGGCCTCGGCTACCTGCCCTCCCCCCGGGGCAGCGACGGCTCGCACCACAGCCCGGGGCCGTGCCGCTGCCGGGAGCCGTGCCCGTTATCCGCCACCTCCTGCCGGGCCGGGAGCTGACGAACGGCGACGTGTTCCGACCGAAGAAACGCTCCCAGAGCCTGAGCCGCTCTGCCGTGTCGGATGGGGAGCACGAGCGCGAGGACGAGGAGATGGACATGGCGGCCATCAGCTCCTACGCCACCCTGAGCCGGCGTCCGGGCCGGGGTCACCCCGCCCGGGCCCCCGCGCTGCTCAACGGCACCATCAGCCGCAGCCAGTCCTTCGCCATCCGGGCCAGGAGGAAAGGGCCGCCCCCTCCCCCGCCCAAACGCCTCAGCTCCGTCCCCGGCTCCCAGGAAACCCAGGGGCCCGGGAGGCCAGACGACGGGGACCCCGACCTGGTGCAGGGGCTGCCACTCCGGCCGGACACCGCGGAGGGATTCCCGGGAGCGTTGGGCGGCGGGAGCGTCAGGAGCATGGCGGCCATGTTGGAAATGGCGGCCTGCGGGGCGGGCTTCGCGGCCCTGCCGAGGCCCGGGGTCACCGGGGAGGTGGCGATCGCCGTCGGGACCGCCAGGGAGGGGCCCCGAGGCGGCCTGGAAGCCGGGAGTCAACGGCAGCGACGGCGGACGTTGAGTGAGCCGGGGATGGGGCTCGAGCACCTCGGGGCAGGGGCTACGGCGGAGGAGGAAGATGAGGAGCTTCGAGCCGGTCACGGTGATCTGGCCGGCTCCTCCTCCTCCTCCTCCCAGAGCAGCTCGAGCGAGTGCATCCCCTTCGCCGAGGAGGGCAACCTGACCATCAAACAGCGGCCGAAGCACCGGCCCGGCATCGACACCGGGGGGCCGCAGGGGCCCGAGGAGGAGGGGCCGGGTCCCGCCCCGTCACCGACCGCCCCCGAGTTTAACCTGACCGAGTCGGACACGGTGAAGCGAAGGCACAGAGCCAGGGAGGGCGAGGGGGAGGCAGGTGGTGCCCAGCCCCCCCAGGGGGCTCACTACACCCAGGCGCAGGGGGCGCTGATGCCAGAGCCCAGCCCCCCGGCCGCACCCCCTCCCCCGCCGCCCCGCCCACACAGCGAGCTGGAGGACGACACGTGTATCGGGCTGAGGATCGCGCAGATCGAGAGGAGCATCAGGTCCCTGGAGAAAGGCACCAAAACCACCCTGAAGCCCCCGCTCTCGCCCAAGCCCAGCCTGGCACAGCTCCCACACAGCAGCCTCGCCCTCCGCAGGCCACCGCTCACCAGGACACCCGCCACAGGTAAACCCCCCCTCTCCCCACCCAACGCATGGGGGTCAGGCATGTCTGAGGCCGGGGGGAGGGGAGGGCAGGTGAAGGGGGGTGAACGTCAACAACAGCGCATTACATTTGTACAGCGGCTTTAATAATAATAATAATCCTGGCGTTTGACACAGAGCCCAATCACGTCTTCGAGACGTCTCAAAGCGCTTCACAGGACACACCGCGAACTCTTTCACGTCGGGAGGACGTCCCAAACCACTGGACGAGGATTTTTGAACGGTATCCTCAGGGGGGACGGGGAGCCAGTGGGACCGGGCGCGGGTGGGGTGGGGTGTGATAGGGTCACGGAGCCTGGTGCGGGGGAGGGGACACGAGCCCTGGGTGCTCTGCAGTTTGTGGAGGGCGCAGACGGCGGGTGACGGGATTTTGTTTCTCTTTCAGAGTGTTGCCCGGTGTCGGTGTGTGCCAGTCCGCCTCTCTCCCCACAGCGCACCGGTCACCATCTGCCGTTTGCCCACCACCGAGCCTGCAGCCCCCCACTCTTCCCGTCACCCTACACCGTGCACCAGCCCCCGGCGAGGGCCCTCAGCCCGTGTGCCGCGGGGCAGTCGGTCCCGGGGCCCCCCCCGGGCGAGGTGGAGGCCACCCGGGCTCACCGCCGGCTGGAGCAGACCAGCACCTCCCTCGCCGCGGCTCTGCACGCCGTGGAGGCCAAACTGACCCAGGATCAGGACAGCAGCGACGGGTAAGTCACAGCCACCAGCACCGCGAGCGTCAGGCTCTGGCTCAGCCTCGGCAAAGCCAACGCCACTTGTATTGTGTGCCCCCGGAACGGTGACACGTTCCTCCCATTGCATTGCTCTCATCTCTCACTCCTACCCCCACCTTCCCTGCCCTCCACTGATTCCAACCGCCTGCTCGCATCCGAACCCCTAACTGTCCAACCCCTTGGCAGGTCCTCCTGACGTGGATGGAACGGCGTTGTGTAAATGTGATATTGGGTTGCATTGCGTGCCTCCCGGCGTGTTCGGCACATAGCAACACGCCTGTCACACGTAGGAGAGTGGGGAGTGAAGGGAGAGTCGGCACAAACATCATTGCCCCTGATCTGCTCGGCTCGCCCCCTTCAAGACGTGACAGCGCTCTCTCTCTCTCCAACGCTACACTATCCTCCCTTTTTGTGTGGTGACCGGGCCTGGCCTGGCCTGGCCTGGCCTGGCACAGCTGCCTGGGTTGTAACCGAGCTGTTATTACAAAGGGAAGGTGACGAGCCCGAGTTCATACTCTGATCGTTCTCCTCCTCACAGCTCGGGCGGCGCAGTCATCTCCACCGGCAACATATTGGACGACATCGGCAGCATGTTTGACGACCTCGCTGACCAGCTGGACGCCATGTTGGACTGAGACCGTCTCGACTTGACCTGCGATCGATTGGCCTTCGAAAACACTAACCTGCCTCGGGTTGAAGCCTCACTGCTGTTATGAGACGTTCACACCGACACAGAGACAGACCGCTGAGGGGTGGATTGGTGCTCAGTGCCTCCTCCCACCCCCATCAAATACTCCCTGCCGCTGTATTTCAGTGGATCATTCCCCCGAGGACCTCAATCATCAGACACTGTGGAGACAGCGAGCAGCTCTGAGGCTAACTCTCGCTCTCTGTGTCTCACTCTCTTGCTGCCTCTCCCTCTGAACCCAGCATCGCATCGCGAATGACTGGTCAGAACGTCCAAAAGACGACGACACTGATTTTTTTATATATATATATATATATTATAAAACAAACGTGACTGTATATATTTCTTTACCGCTGGCTTCTGCTAACAGCACAAAAGCACTTAAAAAAAAAAAGCACAAACGTGTATTTACTGGGGACCTGAATATCCATTGTGAGAGCGTTGCTGAATGAGCTGTTATATTAACACTTGAAGCCGAGTCTGGGCAAAAATGCCTGAAACTGCTGTCACTAGGAGTCAATCCTTGCACTTGTTTAACATACAGACGTGTTGGACTCATTCTGCTCTGAGTGTGTGTGTGTTTTTTTTATCTGTGGGAGGTCATTGCACTGCAGGACAGCACGAAATGAAGGAAAATCATGAGCGAAGCACGAACAATATACATTGATTACCGAGCATGAAAAGCGTTACAAATATATTTATTTGTATTTCAATTTCTCTTACGAGTTACAACCTTTCGGCTCAGTAAAAATCAAAATGACCAGAGTGAATTTATTAAATATCTAAAACATTTTACACCATATACATAATTTATAGAATACCAAGTACTAAAGTCGTCCCAATGGCTGGGTGCCACAAATGGAGGAAGAGGCGCAGAAATGGCTCTCGTTTCCCCCTCCGGCACTCAAAATCGCTTGAAAATGAATAGGCGAGACATGCAAATGCCACTGTGATGGGCCTGGGACATGCAGCTCCTAATGGGAAACGTCTAGTTTCGTGAACACGTAAGAGGGGACGAAATATTGCTTAAAAAACACAAACTTCTGTTTTAGAACAAACAGTTCCCTCGTTCAGGAGGGACGTTCTACCTTAATGGTGGAAGTTTAAAAGAGTTTACTTTCAGAGTTCCTGATTGACACCCGACTGGAAATAAGCAATAAAAACAGGGACGTACCGAATCGATTTCCAGGGGTATAAACCGATGTAGGTGTTGAAACCTCCCTCAGAATTTAGTTTCCTAACAGTACGATGGGCTCTGGATTAGCATAAATCACATCTCAATCCACGACTGTTTGTGGCACATCGCTGTGCGCAATTGGCTGCTGCGTTTTTCTCACATAGTCAATTCACTTTACAGTATATCCTGGTGAAGCGCTTTGAGACGTCTGTGACGTGATAAGGCGCTATATCAAATGCAAGGTTTATTGTTGTTATGAAGGACTTGGGGAGGGGGTGTACAGCGCCTACGCACCTGGCTGGCTCTGGGTTTAAGCTCGAGCTGAAGAGCACGTGAAGCGTCCACGCAGACGGCAAGCCTGTCCCTAGTCCCTGGCTTTCCAACTGGCGGCACCAGCCCCACGGCAAAGCTTTCAGTGTCCTGCTGGAGTGACGTTTTTGAGCAGCACAGATTGGCGACTTGACTGTTCTCTCAGCCTCCCAAGAGGCACCACGGTCCTGATGGCTCAAGATGGGGAATCAACTTGGATATGAATGAAGCAAACAATGTCAGGAGTTTACTGACCACTCACAGCATCACTCCTGAGGGTGACATTCCTACCTGCCTGAAACACACACGGGACCAGAGAGAAAACATCAAAACAACCCGACTTACAAACTTCCTCCAAACTTGGAGAGGGGGAGGCAGGAGCCCGGTTTACTCTCAAAGAGATGACCGGCAGTGTTTCTGACAAATATTCAATTTTTTACCACGGGACTTTGCGAGTTCACAGTCTCAGCTGACGCTCCAGTGCAGAGCTGCATTGTCAGAGGTGCCGTCCTTTGGATGAGATGTTAAACTGAGGTCCTGCAGTGGCTGTTCAGACGGACGGTAAAAAAAATCCCTTTTCACTACTTCAAAAGAGCGAGTTTCTCTCTCCCGGTGTCCTGGACAACAAACCCCGCGTAAAATTGGTCACTCACTTCATGGCTGCTTATGGGGACATTGCTGTGTGCAGATTACCTGCCACGTTTCACCTACAAAATTCACACTAATAATAATAAATAATCCTTGCGTTTGATACAGCGCTTTTCATGTCTCCGAGACGTCTCAAAGCACTTCACAGAATATACTGTAAAGTGAATTGACTCTACATTTATGGGCGAAACACAGCAGCCAATTGCGCACAGCAGAGTCCCACAAACCGTCGTGGATTGAAGTGACTATTCTTTTTTTTTCTGGAGGGATTATTATCGGGCGGGTGGAGTAAGGAAATTTGCCCAAAGTTTCGTCCTGGCCGGGAATCGAACCCAGGGCTCTCGCTTGCGAGGCGAGTGCTCTAACCACTGAGCTACAGGACTCCTAGCTTTGACAATTATCTGTGAAGCTTTGAGACATTTTGACATTATTTGTGGCACCTCTTACACCTAGTCTGTGTGTGTGGTATCAGATAGGAAAGGATTCTCTCAGATTTGGCAACCGACAATTGTTTCAAGCCCTTAAGCAATCACAAATAAATAGAAAAGAACAAGATGTGAAGGTTTTGACATGTTCCATACCTCCATTAGTGTCAGGTCCCAGCGGAGACTACAGGGCCCGAGACACTAGAGAGAGAACAGCCCGATGCTGGGAAGCTCATTGACCCATCCACACACAAGACCATCAGAGACACAAAAGCTCCCAGGGTACAGAGGTCGATTAGAATCAGCTCCATCACTCAGCAGTGGTAACTAACACACATGATCTATTGTTGCTGGTTGCGAGGCAGAAGACGCACATCTTGAGATTCTGCATGAAGGCCATCATCAAAGCCAGGCAGACACAGGACCTCCTAATTCACTGGCTTTAAACTAGCCCACAACCCAGTCAGGCTGTCATTGGGAGTCCCTTCCCCCCCACCCCCCACCCATTCCACAGTGACCCTCATCGACAAGTCCTGAAGTTGAAAGTGGGGTGAGCACCAACTTGGCTGGAGGTCGCTTTCGAAGTTCACTTTTATTTTCTTTCCCTTTAAAATGCCATTTCATTCAAATCTGTATCCACTCGGAACGTCAAAGGTGAAAAAAACTGCACGGAGAGGGAGAGAGCGTGTGCGAGCGCGTTACACAGGAACATCAGGATAAGGGGAGCAGGACTTCCATGCAGAGTTGCGGCTCCGAGGGCTGTTCGAGCTGGTGCGTTTGTAACAGGCAACAAGCAGGGACCAGGAGCAAGGACGAGAAGCAGTGCCAAGTGCTACCATCAGTGCAGACAGGAATAAAAACACATCTTTTAAAGACAAGCAGCAAATCACTGGTGCTGACCTGGCTCCTGTCAGGAGGCTGACATTACAGCACCTCCTACTGCAGACTGGAAACAGGGGAGACTTTCTCTCTCTCTGAAGACTGCACCATGTACTTGGAAGCCCTTAAAAACCGGGGACTGAACAGACATTTACTCTATAACTGGCCTGGGCCGTCTCTCTCTCCCTCTGTCTGACGTCTGCTCTAATGTTAGTGAACAGGAAGGGTCCCGTTTTACCTCGATGCACTTTGATCTCAGCCTTCCATCCTACACGATAAGCTCCTTACACCAAGTCCTCCCGCCCGGCCCGGCCCGGCCATGTCCCTCTGAAGTGACAATCGCTGTTATAACCTGGTGGCTGAGCTCTCAGCTGCTGCCCTGCCACACTACAGCGCTGCGCTGCGCTGGAACAAGCAGGAACGAACGTGCATCGCGGGCAGGACCACATTGGCAGCAGCAGAAACGGTCTCTAAGGTGAAATTAGTGCCTTCTCCAGTTGCCGTAGGTAGGGGTCTGTAGGTCTAGACATCACGACAGAGCTGGATGGTTTAGCAGTGCTACTAACTGAGCTCTGCCGCCTGTGCTGCTGTGTCTCTGGTACCTACTGTACTCGGCGGCCCTGCCCCTATAGCTCCGACACGTCTGGTGAAAGGTTGGCAGGTGTCTGTGCGGCTCTGTGCGTCTTCATGCAGTAGTGATCCAGTCCTGGTGGCGCAGCTCTGAGCGAGGCCCTGGCTCTGATGCCTGCAGTGGCTTGAGGATCTGCTCTCTCTCTCTCTCTCTCTCACACCGCTCTGGCCGCTGCTCTCTCACACGCTCCCCGAGTGTCAGAACGGAGAATTCATTCCCAGTTTCGTTTCGAACTGCAGCTTTTGCCTCTTCTGGTAACGCACTCTCACCCTGGGGAGAAGAGGTGGCAAAGATTACTTTGTTTTAATGATAATAATAATAATAATCTTTACATTTGGTTTTTGCACCTTTCAAGTGGGGAGGACGTCCCACAGCGCTTCACAGGATTTACCGTAAAGTGTGTGTAGTGACTGTGTGTTTTGTGGCTGCAGGTTTAAAATATTAAGCAGCTGTAGCCTAGCTTTTCGTCAATGAACTCGGACCTTCCCTCCCCCCTGTGATAAAACTTTGCACTCACCTGATCTCATGCAGTTTCACAACCTCATTGATGACAATGACCAGAAAGAGGGACAGGAGGCCGAGGAGCCAGCACGGCACTGGGACGTCCTGCAGCTCGTAGGTCAGCGGTGTCTCCGCGTTCCTCCACAGCTTCAAGTCCAACACCACCTGCACCATCTGGCCCACCAACCTGCACGTCACAGGGGAAACAGCTCACACGCTGCGGCTTGCACATCACAGCACGTTTGTGTCAAAGCGCTCTGGGACGCTATGCCTGCATGAGGGGCGCTGTATATAAATGCAAGTTGTTGTTGTTGTAGAAAGCTTTGATCCGCATCGGACCCAAGTGTGCTGGTGGGGGGGAGCTGTCGCACGTTCTCTCTCCCCTGGCGATACTTACACGACAGGTAGAGTGAGGCACCACCAGGCGTTACTGAAGGGGCTTTTCCTCCACAGGGGTTTGGAACGATGTACGTGGCTAATGGAGATGCACACTGTAAGCAGGAGAAACACTGCATCAGGAACCGCAGCTGTAGTGCATGTGTGTGAGAGACATGACAGGCACTAGACACTACCTCTCAACTATTCACATCCACCTCAAGCCACTGCACCGTAGCAAACAGCAAAGTCCACATCAGCAACTAGTTGAGTGAATGGAGGCCAACCGGCTTGCTGCACACCACACCCTCTGCCTTCGCCTCCTCCTCAGTCTCTCTGCTGCGTCTGACATTGTTCACCACTCCATCCTCCTTGATCTGCCTCTCCCACCCCCACCCCCTCAATCAGGAAGCCGATTTATACTGCGTTATAAAGGTTCCCCGGCTCGTTCATGTGTATTAACAATGTGCGTCACGTGACTGTGGTTATTCCTCTTACCTGTATGCAGAACGATAAAACACACCATGATCTTCTGAGCTAACAGCAAGCCATTAGAGTGCTGCTGGAACCACAAGGGTGCTCCCTCTGCATCACTGCAACAAGTAAAACCTCACCGTCAACCCCCAGGTCCACTCCCTCTCGCTCAGCAACACGGCAATGCTAGAGCTGCCTACTTAGCCAATTTGCTGAGGTTTCCCTGTATAAAATTGTTCTATGGTCTTTATGTCTTTACGAAAAGCAGGAGATAAGCTGGTCATCTCTGGTAATATGGCTCCATCTGCTGGACCAAAGAGCACTGAACAGCAGCAAAATAAGGCAGGGAAGAGAATACAATAGCTTGGCGTATAGTTTGTCCAACTAACTTTGTCACGCTCTGTATGTCCATTACATAAATACCATCAACACAATAATTATTTGAACCAATAAGCAAGCCAATCACTCGCCTGCTGTAAAGGGGGACGGACCCTTTAACTGAGCTTTACTCAGCACCACAACCACCCCCCGCCCCTTAAAGAAGATTTTTCACCCACCGCCTATGTTTACAACACACGCACACGCACACACACACAGGACATGGAATGTCCTGCCAAAAACACTGGCTGCAGTAGAATTCATTAAAGCTTTTAAGAGGGAATGGGAGAAACATCTAAAAAGAAAAAATATGTAAGAGGGAAGGGTGAGTGGGACTAAGCAGCTCTAAGGGAGAGTGGGGCCAGGTACGAAGGACGAGAATGGCCTCCTTTTGTGCTAAAAACATTCTAACCGGCCTGAGCCAAGGATTACACTGGCCAGCAACTCACCTGTGCAACATGATGGAGGAGCAGTTGGTAATATTTAAGGTGTTTGACTTTTCACAGAATTCCTGCAGCATGAACCCAAAGCAGATGAGGTAGGCAAAGACCGTGAGGCTGAACTTGATCAGGAAACACATCACAAAGTGCTGTTGCGTCTGCAGATGTTACAACGGTAACAGAATTCAGAATTGTTACCTCTTGGCTCAATTTTATGTCAAAAATAACAATTATTTGTGTTTTTAATCTCCTTTTTATACATAAAAATATTAAGGTATGTAACAAGAGAGGTTGGATTGAGGAATTGGGACTGTGGTACATGGGCCATGAAACGGTGTGTAGTGGAGCAGGCTCGATGGGCTGAATGGCCTCCTCCTGTTTCTAATGCCTTCTAAATTCCTTTTTGAAGAAGCTGGAAAGGGATTGTGGGGGGAGGGAGGGAGGGAGGGACGGACGGACAGTGGTGAGAGCAGGGCACAGACATGGCTTCAGCTGTAAAGGCAGCTCACCTTTCTGGGAATGGACACAAAGTTTTTCCCGGTGGCCACTGTCATCACGGAGCTGTCTGGCGGTTTCCCCAACAACGAGGCACTGACGACAAAATCAAAACCGAATCACAAACACTGTTTGGGACGATTCCGCGCCTTGCGAAATAAACAATTATTTGTGTTTTTAAATCTTTTTTTTTGTGTATCAAACCATTAAGGGCCGTGCGTGGCGAGGAGGTGGGATTGGGGCTTTGTGTACGTGGACAGCATCTTACCTCAGTAACGGGTAGCAGAAACAGGAGAGCCAGAGAACGTCAGTGGTGCTGAGTGGTGGGGGCAGCTGAACCACACAGGCCAAAAACTGCTCACAAAAGAACAGAAAGGGCTAAGGTTAATCAGGGCTCAAAACACCGCCAGCCAGCAAAAATACCAAAATTATACCAGGGCTTAAAGGGTTAAATTCCGAGGCCAGGTTGAATAAACTTGGTCTGTATTCCCCTGAGTTGAGAAGGTTGAGGGGGTAATCTCTTTAAAATGCTAAAGGGATTCGACAGGACAGATACAGAGAAACTATTTCTTCTGGTGGGAGAATCCAGAATAAGGGGACATCATCCACATGTTTCAGGTGTTGGTCAATGTACTGTGTGGCAGGAGAGGGAGGAGGGGGAGTAATAAGACTTTGTGGACCCTGTGAATCTATCTATCAGTCGGTCGGTCCAACAGAACCAGTAGGACTGTGAGGAAAGAGGCTTTGAGTTGACCCACCTGAATGAAGACGAGAGTAAGCTGGCATTGTAGCAGGAAAAGGAAGCATTTCCTGATCCCATACGTAGTGTGTCGTGCCTAAGGGAGAAACACAAACATACCCTTGGGTTAAACACCAGTTGCATCAAACACAGCTGCTGGTGTCTGGGTTATATACCATCTCAAAGATGCCACACAATAACGTGGCACAGAGCAAACATACACAGCTGTACCAGGTTTAAAGACGATGGGGAATTTCCTATCGTTACTTTTCTCACCTCTCCTGAAAATGCTAAGGTTTTCCTGAGGCTGCGCGCAACTTGGCTGCTGAGTTTACCCCCAAAAACACAGTCACTACACTTTGCAGTCCTCCCTGTGAAGCGTTTCGAGACGTCCTCCCGACGTAGTAAGCGTAAGGAATGTTTATTGTCTTTCTCTCTCTCCCTCCCTGTTCTCTCACTCTCTTTCCCTGCTATCCAGAAGGGCAGGTAGATGTTTAGTGGCGAGAGCAGTCAGTCTCTGATCTCCACAGGTACGTTACCTGCTCGATGAGCTTGATGATGCTGATGCTCTCCTCCTGGTGGCAGGAAATGGAACAAGGCAAGCTGTTCAATAGGCCGGACAACTGCAGCGGTGAGAGGTCTTCGGACTCGAAGGAAACACTGGCGCTGGTAGCGTAACCAAAGGTCTCCCAGGAACATCGAGATGGATACAGCGGATCCAACCCAATGCTGTTAATGAACAAAACAACAGAAGAAACCTTTAGTAGGAGAAGCGGAAACAGACAGTAGGTTCACACAGCCCATCAGGTCAGTGCTAGCGACGTCCTCCAACAACAACTTCCATTTATATAGAGCCGTTCATTTTGTCCAAGGCAGTCACTTTACAGCGGTGAAGCTTAATACCAAGATGAAGATAGAGAGTAAGTTGAAGTAGGTTGACATGGTTGAAGAGGTTGGTCTTCTTACTGCTAGGTAAACAGTTCCTACTTACTCCTAGGTAAACGGAGGCCTGTGGAGTAAAGAAACTTGCCGAATGTTTCACCCCAGCCAGGAATCAAAGCCTGGTCCTCTCGCTTGCGAGGAGAGTGTTCTAACCACTAAGCTACAGGACTCCACATAGTGCCCATGTGTGGAAACAGCCTCACCCGATGTCACTCTGCAGGAAGAGACAGTTGTTCCTGAAGTTGGCAGAACTCCCCAGGCAGCAGATCACCTCCCCGTATTCCTGCATGATCTTCATCATCTCACACATGGCTGGCAAAGAGAAGAAAAGGATTCATTAGCTACCTGCTGAGGAACAGTATTGAAGACTATAAGGATAGGGAGAGAGACACGAGCGTGATCGAATACTGGACTGTACAATGTTAACTTACTGTCTTGAGTGCAGTCTGTGAACAGAGGGACCAGTAAAGGCACATTATCGATGTTCTGCAGGTGTGGCCGCACCTGATGGATTCCCCGTGGTAGTTTGGCCTAAGGTGAAGAAAAGTAACGTGCGGTTTGTTGTTGGTTTGCACGCATACACAAACAGTAAGCCTTAGAGCAGTCTTTCCAGCCGGGCCACATCCACAATCTTTCGACCGGAGAGGTGCACAACTTGAACTTTTTTTTAAAAAAACATTTAAAAAGTGTACAAGTTTTTTTTTAAAAAAAGAAAAAAAAAGAATTGTACATTGATTTCCTAAAAGATGATCTCTTAACCTACTCTGATTGAGTGAGCATATTTCATTGCATATTTATCCTGAATGACGTCAAAAGCAAGTTAGAATGTTTTCCCCCCGTGGGGCACGGAGGCAGTCTTAAGATTTTCCTGTTGTGAACTTGAATCATTGAATCCCGCTGCTCACCCTGTTGCAGTCTTCCAGAAAGCTGGGCACGTCGCTGTCTGTGGGCTGGAAACTGATGAGATCTGAGTGTCTTTCTTCTTCCATTAGCAACGCCCCCTCTGGATCGTCCTTTGAATCTACGCGTCAGAGAAAATGAGGTGAGGTGACCTTGGTGCACACGCTGCAGAGATCAGCAGTGAACTTATGGAACAGGCTCCCTAGGGAGACAGATGGTGGAAGCAGAAAGTGCTGTTTGTTTCAAGAACACATTAGGCTACAGTATATAGTTTGGGACACGACATGTCAAGCGCTGCCAGGATGAATGGTGGAAGGTGAACTAGATGGACCTTGGTCTTGCTTCGCCAGTAAATTCCTATGTTCTTATCCTGCCTCAATGCGGATTTCTTCGCTTCATGTACGTACGTCAAGTGAGTGAACCAGCAGTACATCCATCCCCGATTTCTCCAGTTTCACCTCTGTTCTCTGAAATTGGGCGCACCTTTGCTCATTTCCATTCCTATTTATTCCACAAGTAACGCTTCTTACACGCTGGGTCTACGTGGCACCAGTGCTGGGGTTTGGAACAGGCAGCAAAGCTACACGAGAGACATATGGCTTAATCACCCAGATTGCAGACTGAAAGATGCTGCCAAGATTCTAATTGAAGCAAATTAAGCTTTTACAGAACTGTTCTACCCGTGAGCGATGTTTTAATGTGCGAGTAAGACAGTATGAGTAAGACAATTCCTTTGGGAACTCCATCCCACAGTCCCCACGCCTCGCTCCCTCGCCTCGTTCAAGGCACGTCTCAAGACCCTCCTCTTCGACTGTGCCTTCGGCCACCCTCCTACCCCCACCCTCCCTGCCTTCCACCCCTCCTGATCCTAACCCCCTGCTCGGGGTCCAAATCCCTGACTGTCCAGCACCTTGGGATGTACCCCCGACGTGAAAGGCCCTGTGTGTGTGTAATTTGTTGTTTTTGTTGTTATCGACTGAGCCGTCAAACAGGAAGCACACTGGTGAAATATTACGCTAGTTATCAGCGCAGCAGCACCATATATCACTCCCTCGCAGGCTTCAAGAAAAAGAGACACAAGGCAATGGCCTACCCTGATGCAGGTCGTCACGCAGGGACCCTGTGTGGCTGGGGCTGGACTGTGGTATCTCAGAGCCAGGACCTCCAATGTACGGCAGTAAAGAGATGTGGCAGTTCCAGCCGGTCTCTAATCCCATCTTCTCTGCAAACACCTGCGACGAAGCAGTGGATTAGTTTGGGTGGAGAAGACCTTTTGGCTCATCTGACCTCATCCTTGCAGAGCACCCACCCAGAACAGAAGCAGGCTGCGCTCAGTCACAACTTCTTTTTCCGTAGATGTGCAAAGGACTTGGTTAGAAGCCAGGCTGCAAAGTGCATCCAATGGATAATTCATGGAGTTTTGAGCTAAGAGACAGCTTTACAAGTGGCAATCCAGGTCAAATCATACCCACCCACCTCCACGAACTTGCCATCTATTACTCTACTGTTACGAGTTGCATGTTGAACAAAAAAAAAGACCTGTAATATTCTTTTCTTTCTCCCAAAAAATCTTTGCAACAAATGGCAAAAGATATTTATTGGAGAACAATTAACACATGATTTAATTTTAAATCGAGTGCCCAGTTACAAGAGGAGGCAAATCCGGTAAGAGTTCCGTTCGCTTTACAATATATATTCCGTGAAGCGCTTTGAGACGTCTCAAGACGTGATGAGGCGCTTTTTCAAATGCAAAGATTATTATTTAAACAAACTGGTCGAAAGTGCACCTGAAATGCAATGGCTGTGCAGTAAACACCTGCCACAATAACGAGACTTTGGGTAAAAAGGCCAGAGACTACTGAACCCGAGAACAGTACCTTGCTTTTTAGCTCATCTTCCATGGAGAAGTAAACAAAACGGATGCATGCGTTGACCAGTGCATCAATTAACCGCACAATGTCTAGTCGAGCTTGGTATTGGGAGGAGACCATTCCTATGAAGATCTGCCCACTCAGTGCTTGGATGCAGTCCTCCTTTTCCATCACTTCCACGATTCCCTCTGAAGAAACCACCAGAATTCTGTTCAGTCACATTACGCTCTGCACAGCTGGGTTTTACATCCTGGCCTTCAAAACTCAACCTTGTCCCGTCTTAACCTCATTTAATAATAATCATCACTTCAAGGCCGTTTGCAGGACACTGATGTGCAAAAAACGGCTGCCGTGCTGGTCTTTAGTTACAGTTACTACACTTTACAAAACACTTTTAGAGACATTCAAAGTTATAGGCGCTAGACTAAATGCAAGATTTATTCCTACTAATTCCTTCCCATTTCAAACCATCCCTTCCCCTTCCGCTACTCTCTTGACAACAGCGTTTTTAATTTAATAAACTTCACCGGTCAGTTTTGCAGCCTATGAAAAGCTGGGAAACGTCAGGTGGATATGGTCATATCACTGACATGATTTTAGTGCCTAAGCAGAAAGGTGTCAGCGTAGGCTGCACATACTCTGTTGTACACTGTCCACAACCCGGGGTGTTTTGGGTGTAAATAGACTGATTTCATGCAACAAAAAAAAGCACACAATAATGGTCTATAAGCTCACAACATAAGTATCTCCACTTGGGCATAGTGCCAAAGGGCTACCAATCCTCGGGAACTGCTCAGTACTCCAGCATAAATCAACACCTTTAGAAGAGAGAAGGGCAGAAAAGAAAGTGGGAGAAAGGGGGAGAAAATAGGAGAAACAGCACAGTGTGGAAGGAGGTAAAAAAAAACTTCAAAAATCCCCCAAAACGGTAAGAGATAAGTTGTGAAAAGAAGTAATTTTGTGAAGATCAAAGTACCATCAGAACTCCAGCTGTTTCTTCTACTGCCATGTTTAATGGGCGTGGTCCCTGGTAGGTCATAGGAGGTGAAAATAGCATTCTGACCTGGCACCTGGACCAGCTCAATGCACTTCCCATTCAGCTCAGAGGACAGGGTGCAATGCATAGGCTTGTAGGAAAACGCAGAGCAATATCCCGAGAGACAGGCCCGCTGGTAGAAATCCAACACTTTCTTCCTGCAACATCACAGGGAAAAAGGTAGATTAAAATAAACACCATTGGGATCGGAGTCACTCCAACAGAAATAAAAATCAATCTTGATTGATTGAAATTCAATTATCACTGTAGAAACGCACCAAACTCTGCGCATCATCTACTCCATTGATTACAGGAGAACACATTCCAAATCAATCCATCAATCAATCAATTCTTTTGACAAAAAATGATTGGCATAAAAAGTTAATAAGCAGCCACTCTCTCCTGCCTTGGGTAGGGAGGATAAACATTTCAGTTCTGACGAAAGGTCGTTGACCTGAAATGTTAATCCACTTTCCTCTCTCTATAGATGCTCTCTGACCTGCTGAGTGTTCCCAGTGACTTCTGTTTTTATTAAAGATTCTGTACTTCTCACTTCAGATTGTTTAAGTCCAACAGGGACCATTTTACAAAGAGCTGTGCAATGGAGCAATCCTTCCAAGCCCTTTACACTGACATAGACACATCTCTGTAAAACTGGGCCTAGGAACTTACTCCAAAAAACCTGTCTAAGAGTCAACCCCGAAGATTAAATCCGATTGAAACCCTCAGCCCAGAGGATTGAAGGAAAATTTTAAGTGTTGACCTGAACTGAACCCACAATCCAAAGCACCTGGATGAATAATAGATTTAGGTACAAAAGTGAAATAATCTGCACAAGGCCCACATTGGTTACTGAGGTAAGACAATGATTGCACTTCCACCACAGTATTCGAGTAAGATTAACCCAGCCCACAATTGGACCCGGGCTCACTTGAACTGAATGATGCAAGTTCAACTGTTGGACAAGATGCGGCAATGACCTTCCATGCAGTGTACCGAGCACCTGAGCAGAACAAACCTGTCTGAGCCAGAGAGGGGATAAATATCCGTGCCATCCCAGAAATCGGTGCAGGCCTCCAGGATGAGGTCAGCCGAGCCATGAGACAACATCTGGACGCCACCTGCACACAGATCAGACAGTGGAAGAAACAGCTCAACACAACAGACTTGGAACAACATAGGAACAAAAGGAAGCTATTCAACCCCTTGAGCCTGTTCCCCCATTCTATGAAACCATGGCTGATCTGTACCTTAACTCCAATTACCTGCCCTTACCCCATATCCCTTAATACCCTGACCTGACAAATATCTATCCACCTCAGCCTTGAAAATTTGAATGGATCCAGCCATAATCCACAGCCTTTTGGGGGAAAGAGAGTTCCACATTTCAACTCTTCAAATATTTTTTGCCCATCGAAAACCAAAGGGGAAATTCTCACCCCAGGGAGCAATGGAAGCATTTGGGACCTTTGCTTCGGTGTGCAATCAGTCATGAATGGAAAAGTCTCAGTTCAATCGAAGACTAAGTACAAACTCAATATATTAAAAACAGAGGAGAATAGATGTATTATATGGCATGTTAGATTAGCCTACCAACACCTCATTGAATCCTGTGGCCCTGGGTTAGAGGGTTCCCAATTACTGATTATCTCTATCTAGCTCAGTTGGCTAGGTCAGGACATGGATGCCATGTCCCTGTGGTTAAATAGGTTGCTAGCACTCACTGATTGGATTCACACCAAGAATTGTCACTGGGCTGAGGTACCAGACCACAACTGTCACTGACAGTAACATTCCCTCTAATGCCTCCAGGAAGAAAGGGGAGCAATTGTATCAAAGGGAAGGGAAATGGTGAAATGATAAGTGATCCTAAATGATATTGAACATAAAAAATGAGTATTTAAATTTAGCAGGCTGGAATATGCACACAGATGGTAATCACTCACTGGTCAAAGTATCCCTCACAAACAGGCTGATCAGATGACTGAGCGGTGGTCTCCTCTTGGTGACATACGAGAGTCTCCTTGGCACAATCTCTTTGACCACTTCTACTGTGGGAAGCTGGTACATCGTCAGGTGGTTCTCCTGCTTGAAGAGTTCTTTGGCACCAGGAGTAAAACCTACAAAACAGATACCTGATAATAATACTTGCATTTGATACAGCGCCTTATCACGTCATTGAGATGTGTCAAAGCGCTTCACAGAATATACTGTAAAGTGAATTGACTGAATGTTTTGTGGGCGAAACCCGGCAGCCAATTACACACAGCGGCGTCCCACAAACAGCCGTGGATTGAGTGATCACACTTTTTAAAATTTTAATTTTTCTTTATTTTGAAGGGATCATCACCTCTGGAAAAGCTGATGATCCTTCAGGTTAGCTACGTACCTATAAGCCTGGACAGCTCACACAGCCCCCAGGGAATGTGGATGGGAACGGCAGCACCAGAAGTCTCCTGCAGAGCAATGTTAGACAGGTGGTCGGAGAAGTGACACACCTGCTCAGTGACTGTGGAGTAACACAAGTTGAGGAGGATATTGAGGCCAAGTGGCTTCAGCGAGGAGATGTGAAACTGCCAGTTTGCGTCATCAAACTGAATGCTGGCTGGGTTCTGCTGGTTCTGAGAGAGACTCAGCATTTCCAGGTGGTAATCGCAGACATAATCCTCGGCTTCCAGATCCAGCCCTTCACCAATACCACTGATCTGTAACAAAAGTGCAAAGGTAGAAACCCTATTATTCTCCGCTCAACCTAGGACTCACTGCTCATCTAAATCTTGTCCAGCAGTGTCAGTTGCCTTTCGTTTCTTACGTCATCCATCTCCCAGCTATTGATCACCAAACCACAATTACATACCATCAGGTGGACTATAGTAATTCAATTCAGTTTGCCCATTGCTACTTTTTACATAATAATCCTTGCATTTGATATATCACCTTATCACGTCTTTGAGATAGCTCAAAAGCGCTTCACAGGATATACTGTAAAGTGAATTGATTGTATATTTTGTGGGCGAAATATATAAACTTCTGGTTTGTTTTATACCCAGATGTTAAGTTTTAACCTGCGTTATTTGCTCCTCTCCTCCTTCCGTGTCCTTGCTGAAACTGACGTTGGATCCCGACAGGTGTTTGCACCGACGATTCTCACTGTGTTTCTTGGGCTTGGGGGTGCTTTCTGTCTTCTCGTCTCTCTCCTGGCACATCTCGTTAGCGACGTACACCAAGTCCAGGCCAGAGGTCGGCAGAAGAGCATCAGCTTCCCTGGACTGGGAATTGCACACAAATCCATGGAACATGGGTTCGACAGATCTTTTTATTTAAAAACAATTCAATTTATTATTTTGTTAAAAGCAATTCTTCGAATGACTCAATGTGCTAAGTGGTGTGTGAGAGAGAGAGTTGGAAGTAAAACAGAATTGTACCCAGGCAGTGTGATTGTCACACCTGCAAATGCCAATAAAAACATCAACAACGACAATTTGCATTTACATAACAACCCTCACACAGGGTAGCCCAGAGCGCTTGACAGTGGCGGAGCACGATGCCGAGCTGGGAGGAGGGGCAAGGAGGAGGGATAGAGGAAGAGTGTTCCAGAGTTTCAGGGCGTACACATCAGTACCAAACAGGGATTGCGATGATAATCCTGGTCATCCTGAACTGCAGCCTTGCATTACACTGGTTCTTTCTGGCTTATCCCCTATGGGCATATGACATTACTCTCACCTCCTCCTTGTCTTCATCCACCTCTGGGTGGCCGAAGGACCTCATGGAGAGGTCGTCCTTCAGATCTTCGAGGCTGTCATGGGGCGACTCCATACGCCCACTGAAGAACAGGACGGTTTCTGGGCTCGGGTTGGGCCAAGACAACACTCCTTGCTTGTCCACACAGCACAATACCTAGGTTTTCATATAACACAATTATCCTTTCTACCAACATGAAAAAAAGTTCTGCATGGATGATCCTAGATTAACACAGTTCTCACACACAGAACTGTGACAAATGGCACTTGTGCACTGAAGGAAAAAAAGTAATAAAATAAACCGTTTCATAATAATAATGTAATAATCTTTGATGAGAGTCTAACATCTCAAAACACTTCACAACTACTTGCCATCAATTAGCGATTGTATATGTGTAGGCGAAACACGGCAGCCAATTTGTGCACAGCAATGTCCTGCAAACAGCCATGAAGCGAATGACCAATTTTATCTGGGGGATTGTTGGCCAGGACACCGGGAGCAACTCATTTCGAATAGTGCCGCGGGATCTTTAATGCCCACCTGAACAGGCAGACGGAGCTCGGTTTAACAGCTCATTTTTAGTACAACATCTCTTACAATGTAGCGCTCCCTCAGACACTGCACAGGAGTGTCAGCTCAACCTATAACTTTTCACCTTTCTAATGAACGGTTTGTACAAGATACAGCAGGACATTTATAGCCTGAAAAGAGGCCTCGCAGTCCGCTCACTAGCTTTGCAAGCCTGGTTCACCAAGTCAGATGCGAGTGCAATGATATGTCTGAAGTGTAAACACGATTCAAATGTAATATGATGCAAATGTAACAAAATAACAAAAACCTAAACAAATCTAAAACAAATTTGTAAAGGATTGATTTTCACCAAACAGCAATAATCCTTGCATTTGATATAGCGCTTTTTCACGTCTTCTCGACGTCTCAAAGCGCTTCACAGAATAGACTGTAAAGTGAATTGACTGTATATTTGTGGGCGAAACGCGGCAGCCAATTGCGCACAGCAATGTCCCACAAACAGCCGTGGATCGAGTGACCAAATTATTTATTTATTTTTCTTGAGGGATTATTATCAGGCGTGTGGAGCGAGGAAACTTGCCCAAGGTTTCGCCCGGACCTGCCGGGAATCGAACCCAGGTCACTTGCTCGTGAGGCAAGTGCTCTAACCACTGAGCTGCAGGACTCCAAATCTTCAAGGACACAGAAATATTATCTGCCCCATTGATTTATCTCAAATTACTCCGGCAATATAACAACACCCTCATTGAGCCAATGGGAAAAATAGATTTGCACAATTAATGAGGACTATGTACTTTGTGATAATTCAGCACAACACTCTGTCCCTACAGACCATAAGCAAATTGGCTGGTAAGGCATCAACTCAATCCCATGATTTCTCAGCAGTAGTCGAGGACACTAGATTGGAAAGGTTGGGTAATTCGATACTCACGGTGATGGAGCCCAGGTTCTGAAGTAGGCTTGAAGTGTAGCAAAGGGTAAGCGACTTTCCTCGTAGCACTGACAGAAAGTGACTCCAAACACAGCACATCATTTCCTATCGGGGGGAAATCAGGACACAGCCGAGTACAGACAAAAACTGAAGAGAACAGGTCCATAGCGCATAAACTACAAACTACTAAAGCTCTGTACGTGAGGACCTGGATCAAACATCTTCGAGAAAATCGGAAGCACTTCAGAATACATTGTAAAGTGAATTGATTGTATATTTTGCGTGTGAAAGTGTCTGCAAAAGGTGACATAGTGTGGTTTAGTGCAGCTGAAATCCTACCTTTGAAGAAACCACTTCGGTGTAACTGCTCAGAGTGTCCTCAGAGAATTTCGCCAACTGTGGGAGGAGAAATTGATCAGCCACTAAATCACATCATATAAGAAATTACCGATAGCGTGCGCGGTATACAAAGCTTTCCAGGTTATTATCACTCAGAATCAAACAGTTTTTTTTATTAAACTTTCCCAGATCAGGTTACCCACGGGAAAGCAATTCCCAAAAGAGATTAAGAGATTTTTGTTTTGATCAGTGCATCAGTTACAAGGTTAAAACGTGGATTTGTCCACAGGAAATAAACCATTCTATATTAAGTGCGATTTTATTTATTTCCAGTTCATAATCCCCATTTTTTGATGGTTATTACTTTGGCTTCTATCTGGCTGGTGATTCAGGTTGGTGTAAAGGGACCACATGTCCCATCACAGGAACACAGTTGGAAAGGTAGTGCTTTATCTGTCCACACCACTATTAACACAAAACCTTCAGTACAATTCTCCTTTAAGTCTATCCTGTGGACCGACGTTTCTTCGTATTGAGAGATGATCTTACCAGGCCAACGGGAGGCGCCTTGCTGAACTGCGCCAAGACTCGAGCCTCCCCATAAGCCGTGACGAGCACCCACATCACAGGGAAGAGCAAAGGGAGGATTGGCAATATGCCATTCACCTAAACGCAACACAGAAAGCGCTCATTACAATCGTGCGGTAAATACGTTCATTCACCTTTTCGGTGATGGGAGCCCCGGTTTGTAAATGATGACATGTCGCGAAGCCCGCACATCAAAACAGATCAACGATACTGTTGCTCTGACAGAAACCAATGTTGGAGCCCTGCATTATAGTAAAGACCTTTGAATTTACCTGAAGTTGGAAAAGGGCAATCTGCCAATTGGTGATTCCAGGAGCACGGAAGACAAACCGCACAGTGTTTGTAACCAGAAATACACCCTTTAAAACAAAACATATATGCAATGAGCAGCTGCCTCAGCAACCCAGTGGACAACCTATCATGCTGTAATGAAGCAGGAGGACTTCACCAGAAGCAAGTGATCAGAAGGCTGGCTAAACTTGCTATTATTTTACCTATATCGTCACACTGTATGAAATGCAAAGATTAGTTACTTACTAATTTGTGAGTAAAGTCTCCGTTGTTTAAAAAATCCATTGCGTTGAGTCAGCTGAAAGGGTGGCCAATCTGATCTGAGCTCTGCCCCTGCACTGAATGGTTACTGATCAGGCAGATAGATGGTCTCAAATGGATACAAACCTTCACAAGATTGCAGCGGCTGCACAACTTCACAGCATCCTGCTGCTCTACACCACATTACTGATTAATTAAAATTTCACCAAGGCACAAAGTGACAATGTCGCTTCATATACCTCTTGCATTGATTTTGTTTGTAGATAAGATGTCCTTGCTTTCCTTGCCTGGGATTGTAAAACGGTCCAATATTCCCCTCATATCAACTCAGTCGGACACAACAAGCCTCTCCCGAGTGGTGTTGGAAGAACAATCGTTTTAAAAACACAGCTGAACCCCACCACCCTGCCCTACCTGCTTGGAGGAGGAAGGTGTGCCCGGAGAAGGATTCCCATTTACCCTATTAAGGGAGCTTCAGCCCTAATCCTTACATAACTATTATAACCAATCTAAGACACAAATAATGAGTTGATTAAACACTTGATCTACCAGAACAACAGGGACGGTGTACTTCTCCATGGCAGTCTGCACTGTGTAGCGTTCATTGTCGAGCGCAGTCACAGGTCGGGAATGTGCCAGATCCAGGCTCCGTCTGCAAAACAAATCAGCCACAACACCTTACTGTAAATGTGAGATCACTGGCTAGAGCTACATGTGGGGGTGGGGGGGGGGGTGGGGAGTGAGATGTCCCCAATTCACATGATGGAAAACACCAGCTGATACATGCTAAATGTTCTCATGCTAACTGATGGTTCAATTTAGCTATATCAGCTTTCACAGAAGTTTCACTTTGCATTCATTCCCTTGACACTCCCCAAACATATTGGGAAGCGTGAAGGGTATGGAAGTAAGCCATGAACTATTAGCTAAGTCAGTTTATGGCAATACTGAAGGATCTTTTCTCATGTGTTGCCTCTTGTGCTTATGAATTTGCTGTTGCATACCTGACATTCTCGAGAACAGGAGTCCTCACTACTCTGAAGAGCCTGTGCTGCTGAGGGCTCTGAGGTCCCTTTTTCCCTTTTCCTCTGGGCGTTGGGGGAGGAGAGAAAGGTGGAAACAAATCTCCTGGCTCCAGGACTATATGCTCGTCGTCCTGCATCAGTCACAGGGAACAGAACAGACAAGAGAGGGAGAAAGTGGTTAATTTAAGTAGATGGACATCAGCTATTTTTAACACATAAGAAACAAGTCAGTCGGAGCAACACGTACATAATGAATGAGTCACCCCCCATGTTTATAATTTGCGTTATAAACAATTCAGTGCTCATATCATGGGCCTGCGTTGTAAACTGATCTCCTTTAGACACCACATTATGATGGAATATCAATGTTTACCTTAATTCCTCGTAGAGAAGCAAAGGACTCCTGACCAGGTCTAAGTGCAATGATGTCACCTTCTACCAATAAAGAGACGGGCAGGTTGACTAGACGCCCATCTCTGAAGGCCCAGTGCAGTGACCAGGATGGGGCGCAGGGCATGTAGAGGTCTGGGTATAACGTGTCCTCCCATCTCAGACCCTCACCGGCCTTTAGCGCTTCTGCAAATATAGATAAAAAAATGAATTCAGTTAGAACTAAACACTTTAATGTCTCACCTGAACACACGTGCTCAACTGGCACACCTGTGGAGTAACTGTGCAACAAACAGTCAGTGGCACTATCTATGGGACTGGGTTAGATCAACTCAACTGGACAAAAGTCAGAATCATATCTTTTTCATTACAGGTTATCATACAGAGAAAGGTGACCAACAAGTGACTAATGGGGGGGTGGGATTTCCTTGGCAACAAAATGTCGGAATGGAGTTAACCCTCTGTGGTGGTCTCACTAGTCCGGTTCCTGAGTAAGGAGGGTTTTCAGTAATGCAGGACACTACTGAAGACAGATCAGACAGACAGCAAGACTTGGAGAGGCAGAATAATCATTGGAGATAGGGATCCTTCTCACATAGCTCCTGTTAACCCTGCAAGCCAAAGCCCTAACGGGTAGGCTGGTCCTAGCTGGACAAGCAGTGGGAAGCTTCCTAGACAGTGCTTTCAATGGAATGCCAAGCATTTAGCTGGCTAAACTCCAACAGTTACCCCGATGCACATATTGGGGCATCCAAGCCTTATCTCTTGCTAACTTGCGCCTGATAGGATAAGGAAACCAGGGGAGCAAGTGCATTTTCTACTCCAGGCAAGAAATTCCCATGTGTAGGTGGGATGCACAGAACTCTGTTTGCCTTGGATACTTTTAAGCACAGTGATAGGTTTCTGCGTGTGTCAGACACCCGGCTGACCAAACAAAAACCCAGACGAAAGGAGAGCAAATACCACTGTGTTTGGCACTCACTGAAAAACCACTTACTGCTCTCACAAACTTACTGAGACTTCACTTTCTGACTTTCTAATCACCGATCTATCTGGCAGATACAAGTTTCAGAAGTACAGCAAATGCACTTGGGTTTTATTAATATTCTCGGATCGTACACTTGACACACTGGAAGGTTATTAAGACATTCTGGCTTGATAAGATTTTATAGTTCGGCTGAGCAACCAGGCTAGGCGTGGGAATTGAGACAATTTACTTCGGTTCCCGGCTTCCTCCAATTTATCAGCGCGCAGTTTATCCGGATTTATCTGTAGACAGTCTTGAAGGCCCCCCCCAACCCCCCAAAAAAACTGAAACTCACATCAGCCAAGCCAGTGAACCATAGTGTTAATCACTAAAGAGAAATGCTCAGCTCTAAACAAAGGAACTACTTGTTGGGAGTTTATTCACCGTTCAGTTTACTGACGATAGCTTGCAGCCTGGCCATGACCTCCTCCTTCTTCTGTTTCCCCTGTCGCCCAATTAGATGAAGATTGAGGAGGAGAAGCAGGAATAGTGCTGCTGCATTCACTATTGCACGTCCCTGGCTGACAAAGGAGAGTGGGGAAAGAAACACATACACATACATATATACATAAATTGGGCTTTGCTCTCAATAGAATCTCAATACAAGGCAACGATTACACACTAATAAATGGTTCAACTATAGGGCAAGGCCACACTAAAATATTTAATAATAAAAAAAGAACGATCCTTGCATTTGATATCGGGCCTGTAGAATCAAGAACGTCTCAAAATGCTTCACATGGTTTATGTGAAACACAGTGATTGTGTATTTCGTAGGCGAGCCCTGGCAATTAGTGAGCAGTAAATATCCTACAAACATTTGGTCATAGAGTGAATAACCAATTTTATCCGGAGGATTGTTGACCAGGAATAAACCCTTTCTCTTTGAACAGGCAGGCAGGACCTCGGTTTAACGTCTCATCTGAAAGACGGCAAATCTGATGATCCAGCACTGCATTGGAATATCAGCCAAGACCCCACAAGGAGCTTGAACCGACAAACTTTCCGATGCAGAGACAAGTAACTGAGCCAGACTGAAAACTATTTCCGAAGTAATTATGTTACTCAACCTGGGGGCACCCAAACTCCTTGTGACAGCTGCCGGATACTAATTTGGCTGTTGGCCAAATGTGTGGACATGAATTTAAAACATCACAATAACAGCTAAGAGCATGATGAGCTGTATACTTCCACCCTGTACGTTAAGCAAAAAAAAATTTGCACTGCCTGCTATCTTTTGGTTAATCTTGATCTCCTTATTCTATAAAAGAGGAAGTTTACTGATCTGAAATGCCACACTGTAACTGAGTCTTACAGTGATATCTTGGAGTTTTTAATGCCAAGTGTTTCTAAGACTGCTGGAAACAGGGAGCCTGGTAACGGACATTTTGTGCGTAGCTCACCCTCTTCAGTGGCATGCGAACTGGACAGAGGGTTGTGGGCAGATCGCCCAATAACAGTTATTTCCAAACCACTGACTCCAAAGATTCCTCATAAAATGTCTGCACCCAGGTCACTTCCCAGCAGTGTTGATTTGGATCAAGTTATATCACAAGCAGTAGCTTTCAAGCACAAATGTACAAAAATACACAAATGTAGAAAAAGAGAATGATGCTGGACAAGTATTTCACTTTTAGATGAAGACAGCCCACCTTTAGAGATTTGACAATGCAATACGCGGCAATGGAATTCAGCTGTGGGAACCAAACTCAAGCCCAAGCACTGTGTGTATGCGTGTGTGTGTGTCCGTGCTTGGGCAAGTTGTCATGCTTAATGTAACACTTCTCTTTGAAGATACTCTGGTGCGCAAACCCAACAGGGTCAAAGTGAGATGGGAAAATGTCACTTTTCCCATGAGAAACAGAGCAACAGCACCGCTAAAAACAGCGTGACGGAATAAAGAGGTCAAGGTTAACCAAAAGGCTAAGAGCAAATTCTCTTAAGACGCAAGAGAACCATTTCCCCTTCCCAAAGGTTTAGTGGAACAATGTTCTGAGGGGGAAGTAACGAGGTGGGTTGAAGGGTGGTTTTAAGACAAAGAGGGAGGGGATGAGCCATAGTTCCAGAGGTTTGGGACATAAATAGCTGCGGTCTCAGCTACCAACAGTGACGCAAAGGAAGTGGGAAACAAGCAACAACAACTTGTGTTTATATAGTGGCCCTCACGCAGGATAGCGACCCAGGATAGCAACATGCCCGAGTTAGCCAAACAGAAAGAGGAGTGAGGTAGAAGATTACAGACAGGGATTTCCACTATTCAGTGAGCTCTCTCTTACCTGCCTTCTGGCTGGCTCCCATAGCAGCACAGCAACAAGACGGCAGACAACAGCATGAGAGCTGCACCTGGCCAATGGAAGCTGGAGAATCGGCTGTTGTGGTAGAGGAAGCCCTTAAACCATTTATCCTGAAAAACAAAAGCAGACGTGAACAGACACCGTGCTGAGGAAATGCAAAACAAAGTCATGCAAATCGGGCGTACAGCACTGAACAAAACAGATGGGTTACCACTCGGCTATGCATACAGCATTATTACGCCAGGAAATCGATCCACCAATCAACTAACAACCGGGTTTCTACTTACTGCTAGGTAAACAGAGGCGTGTGGAGGAAGGAAACTTGCCTAATATGTAACCCACTACTGCAAATCAATCCAAAGCATCCTAATCCATTTCCTCAATCCTAGGTTGGTATTCAATCTATTTCATCACATGGAGGACACATCTCATCCCGTTTTTTGTTGATGTACTGGCCTCAGTACTACTACGGAGGGCACGTACCCACAAAACCACCAGTGGAACACTAAACTATTTTATTTTCAAATTTATTGCAGCCACCAATCTCTCTCCCCCCCAAACTCACACAAATACAAGAGTAAGAAGGACAGGGTCAGTTGCTCCGTTTCCGGTCATTGCTGTACCTTCCAGGGCATGTTCTTCTTGCGCTGCTTCTGATGTTCTTCCAGAATGGCAGTGAGCTGGTCACGTAGGACCATCAGCGCCTGCTTGGTGGAAAGACCCAGGTTTGTACTCATCTCATCCTGTGCAAGAAACACAACAGAAACATTTCATTTAGGTCCATATCTCACGCTGTCAAAACAGAACAAAGATACTTGGAACTCATCGAGCCTCAGCTGTCATACGTCCTTGGCTTCTAGGTGCCCCGCTCATTATTTTAGTGAAGCGTCTCTCCACAAGAGGGTGGGGAGGGAGAGTGGAGGCCTTAAGAACATCTTAAGAACAACCCCATTTCCCACTATCACAGAGGACAATGCATCAATACTCCCAGTACCCCCAATACTCCCACCATTTGGTGGCAATCTTACCGTTACATTTCATGGTTTTGCTTAAAATATAATGAACGCAGAATGTGCAAAAGTCTGGGTTTTTTCTCCAGCAAAGAAGCATCACATTCCCACGAAGGTACATTCCCTGTACCTTACAAATCTATCTGTGTGAACGTGTAAAGTCACTTACAAGAGTGATCTGTTTCCCATTAGAGAACAGGTCAAAGTCACTGGGCTAAACAAGCAACTACTGCACATTCTGAAAATAACAAGCATTTTTTAAAAAAAAGTTTTTGAATGACGTCAATGCTTGTAAAGCACAGAGCAATCATTCTGGTGTGTACCTGCACATTAATGTCTGAGTTACAACAAGATTAGGTGTCAGCAAGTACAGACAACTCACACCGAGACTTCAATGTGACATCACCTTACACGCAAACAGACTTAGCATCTGGGCAGAACAGATTACTTTGCGATCCCAGAGACTTTGTGCAGGGAGTGAGAGAAAAACACACAGATTCTCTTTCTGGATATTCGTGTTCATACTATCAGAGGAGAGCTTTTTGGCAAGAATGCAGCGTACTTGGATTCTGTCAGTTTGGCTCAGTTTTTAGCGCTCTCGCCTCTTGGTCAGGAGTTTACAGATCTAAGGCCCACACTAGTACTCGAGTTAATAATCTTTCCAGTTGGGGGAGCTCTGCTCTATTGGAGGTCCCATCGTTCAGGAGCAAAGTTGAGCCAAGACTCTGTTCATACTGGGCCCCAAATAGATATTAAAAGATCCCATGGCTTGATATCNAAAAAAACAGCAGGTAGTTCTTCCAGAATCACGGCTAAATATTACTTTTCCATCCAAAATCACAGCATAAAAAAGCCAAATTAAATTGGGCATTTATCTCACTGCTGTTTCTGGGCGAGCTGTTGATGCAGATGAGTTGCTGGGTTAGTTTTGCAATAGTTACGACACTTTGGTAACTCAATTTGCACTTTGAAATGTTTCAACGTGACAATATTAAATATCATTTTTTTTGAAAATCACTAAAAACTCTTTCCATAGATGCTGCCTGATCTGCTGAGGGTTCCCAGCGGCTTCTGTTTTTATTACCCATCTGAAACATCCAGATTTGAAAGCATTCCAAAAACATAACACATTTGCGAATATTTCTTGGCCCTCGTCAATGCCATTAATAATTTGCATAATTGCAGTACTGTGAAAAACCAATTTGAAATTCAAAATAAAAACCCACCAATTTCTCCTTTGAGTACATCTAATAATAAAGTTGCTCATGCTTCCCAGCATCTACTTTATCATTCAGGAACAGAAAATTCTCACAGAAATCTCACACGTCAAGGCAAGGAGTAACAGATACATCCAGTGCAAAGGAGCAGAAATATCCTGTTGAAGGAAATGCATATCGCAGCACAGATTCCAATCTATCTGAATGAAGAAAGTGGTGTTTGCAGTTCTGTGAATTGGACTGAGGTCTCCATTGTTACAGCCCCAGGAAGGATTGAAACATACACAGACGTAATTAAACAAAGCCCAGTGCATCGGCATTGGATTGCAGCAACACCCATAATAATAATAATCCTTGCATTTGATATAGCGCCTTATCACGTCTTTGAGACGTCTCAAAGCGCTTGGCAGGACATACTGTAAAGTGAATTGACTGTATATTTTGTAGGTGAAACCTGGCAGCCAATTGCGCACAGCATAATCTCTTGTTGCAGCCGTATAAAAGTTCCAGTCCCAATGTGCTTAGCAGGAACGCCACACGGATTCGCTATGCTCAGTTAAAAAGCTTACGTTGAACTGGAATATTTCCTCTAAGCACCTCTCTTTCCTACTGACACCTTTAATTTTAACTGGTTTCATTATCAGTCACGTAAGTAGGATCCGAAATCAGTAAACTAGCAGCAGCCGTTCCGACGAGTCCATTTATTGAACACTATTGATTATAGAAATAATCGGCCCAGACCAAAACCATTCAATGTACAGACTGCACAGTATCTGGATCCTGTGTGGATTAAATCAAAGAGAGGGAAAAAAATGCTTCTTGAAAAAACTTGGAAAGAACTTCACACTCCTCTTCCTTTTCCTTCTACACAAAAACCTTGATCAGCATTTAATCCCAATTCACAACACTGGAGTGATTTCTCTTCCCTTTCCACGGCAGATATTTATAGCACTGTTTCTCACTTTGAAGTTGCTTTTGCACAGCGCCAGTTACTGATGGCAAAATGACGGTTCTTCTTAATGTTATTAAGGAATGAGGTATGCGAACCTGCCCTTTAAACCATCACAATCCTTTGATTCTTTTAGATAGATTATTATTAGTATTATTATAGTTATTGTAGGGCATAAAGCAATGTCACCCAGAATCCATTAAGCTACTAAAAAGTGCATATTTCAATCAGCACCAACTGAGACTGCAACATTTCATCTCACTGGCAATACTAAGTTCTACTGTAATAAGACACTTCCAGGACACGGTTTGACGTGAAATATGAGCACGGTTGCTGGGATAATTAGGCAGCCCGGATTTGCATTCACAGTAACCTGATCTACTACATCAGTTATGAGTTGCTGTGATAATCGAGGGTTTAGCCACCACTATAAATCCCCCAAATGAAATTAAACCCCATTATAATAACAACAACAAAGCTTGGGATCTTTGTGATCAATACAACTCAGTGATGTGCTCAGCTGGGTATTCACCCTCCAAACCACTGAAAAGCTGGTTATTTTCTATGATAGCGTGCATTCATAACAATAATAATTATTGTATTTGATATTGCGCCTTATCACGTCTTTGAGATGTCTCAAAGCACTTCACACAATATACTGTAAAGTGAATTGGCTGTATATTTTGTGGGCGAAATGCGGCAGCTAATTGCACACAGCAGTGTCCCACAAACAGTGGATTAACCAAATTATTCTACATTTATCTTTCTTACATTGAAGGGGTATTAGCAAGAGTAAAGTATATTGGTTAGTTAAAATTTAGACATGGAGTCCTCCATTCTCATTGCTTTTAAAACTCAAGTCAAATTAGGAACTAGCCATAAAACCTGAGAAAATCTGCGTGCAAACAGCATGAGAAGCTTATTGGCCTGCCTTTACAGGGAATTCTAATGGATCAGGGACGAAAAGCACAGAAACCTCCAGAATTTCATAGACGCAATGTGCCAGACTCCTTCCGAGCACTGTTGCAGTAATTTGGCACGGTTAACTTAACGCAGTCTTATAGGATGGGAGAGCAAGTCTAATGCAGTGCTTTGTTCAGGAATCGGAGAGAGAAAAAGCAAATAAACCTCCAGAATCTCATTTGACTTTGTACGCCAGCTAAACAGTATTTACTTAAGTAAGCTAGATTTACTGAATGGACAGTGTGTCCACAAAATACTAATGAAACTCACCGAGCAGCTTTGGAGTGGGGATAATGTCCATTTGAAGATTTTTAACTAACGATAAAAATAGTACATTAACACTCACAGCCTCTAACACAAGAGTACCGCAGATTCTTCACATACAATAAATATTCCTGAACAAAACACTGCAGAACACTATATCAGACTTGTCCTCTCGTCCGACAGACAGCATTAATCTAACAGTGACAAATTATTGCAACAGTGCTCCAAAGGAGTTTAATGCATTTGTTCTATGAAAATACCGTCTCCCACAAACAACAGCATGAACAGTAGCTAAATAGCCACATACATCGAATTCTCACAGGAGTTAAAAACATTTACGGACATTTGTTTAGAATTCCACTAAAGAATGCGTGAAAGCACTTACTTGCAGCTTGGGACATCGACGAAGCTTCGTTGCAACTGCACTCACTTCTCTGAACAGCATTGTCCAAATATGCGCTGAAGATTAAAGATACGGAAGGGACGATTTTCTCACAAGCTCAGCCCAGGCAGGCAGGGCAGGCAGAGATAGCGCCTCCGTCATATACAACCGCAGTCAGCTGCTTGTGGTCACGTACACGATGGGCTCCTTACCAGCGACCACACATACTGTGATCATCCATTCTGCACACAGCTCTTTGGTAAGGACTTTAGCTACAGTTGAAAGAAAATTTTTCTGACACTCCTCTCAACATATTGCACTAACTGGAACAGCAGTATAACAGTATACACCACATTAACTATGTGTATGCCCTCTGTGGTGCTTTATGGATTAATTTCCACTTGTCTTTAGGTAATTAAACATTAAAATTTGATAGTTATGTACGAATGTATGACGACAGATGTTTTAAATCTACAGCTATCCGGGTAGAAGGTTCCACATCCTCACAACCCTGTGTGTGAATAAACTCTTTCTGACCACAGTTAACTGTCTCGCCTCTGAGTTTAAGGCTCTGCCTCTTATAATGGATCCTTCGCCTTTACCGGAGGGCAGAGTTGTCCACTATCTAACCAGATAATTCGAGGAAGTTTTACAAAGTAGGGAAAGGTACAGTTGGTGGCGCTGCAATGCAGGTTGTTCACATCTTTAATGGCTTCCCCTTCCTCTGGTGAAAGCCTTCAGTTCTTCTTCAGTGTCTTCCCAAATGGCACAAGTGAGATTTGGAAATCAATGCGTGGGCCCGCAGGCATAAACCTACATTCATTATACATCTCCACGGGCTAAGTAATTACCAAATGAAAGACACACTTGAATTTTTATCTTATGTGGTACAAGCTTGGTGTGAAATTCCTTCCTCCTTTTACAGCGAGGCTATTTTAAATCTGGTGGGGTCGGGGGGGGGGGGGAGAAAGAAGTGGAGGGAAGAAAGGAAAATATATACAAGCAGAAATTGCTGTGCACAAATAGGGACACTTTAAAGGCTGCTGCAGTGTTTATCCATGAAACCTCTCGACAATGTTAAAAATGCAACCTTCGCAGAAAAGCTTTTCTTTTGCAGGTAAACAGGATCTCGATGGCAAAAAACTGCGGCAGACTGGATTTCTGCTGCCAAATGCAAGGCTCCCACTTGGCTGGTTTGTAAAATTAAAAGGTCATTGAGAAAAGAAAGAGGAGATTTGCCAAGCTTGCAAGAAGAGATATGGCAACCATTGACTGACCATAGATTACACCTCTGCAATTGGCCCACAAAATAGACAGTCAATTCACTTCACAGTAAATATGGGGAAGCGCTTTGAGACGTCTCGAAGAATTGATAAGGCGCTATGTCAAATGCAAGGATTATTATCATGATTATTTACTTTAGCATAACATAACTCTGTCTGTCATGCACCTTGGGACGTCCTTCCGATGTTAAAGACGCTATACAAATGTAATTTTGTTGTTGCTGTTGTTTAAGGTTAATGGACATTTGGAGTCAATCCAGCATTGTCCGACAGTATGCTTCATCATCAAGCAACGCTGAACAATTGTGTGATATCTACACCGGCTCAAACCCATCCCAGCACTCACACCATTAGCAGTTATCATACTGGTATTATGTAGCTCAAAACGCGCCCTCTGGACAAGCTTTGAGTGAATAAGATCAATCCTTTGTATTACTGAGTGGTTTTTCACAGCTCAAGTGGATGCAGTATAAAAATTTCACACACTTATCATTACGCTTTAGTAAAATACCAGTGACTCACAGCCTGGAGTTGGAGAGGAAACCATTAGTGTGCAAATAAACTGCTTGTGTGTTACTGCTGCTTCTGAATCCATCGACCATTTAATTTCTTAATTAACACAAAGCTCACTCTGCAGATTCCAAGCCTCGGAGGGTCTACTCTTTCATTTAATAGTTTTGCATCCTATGTGGTATCAAACCTTACAGTAGGTGTTTCTACGCGTAAGCGCTCAGTTGAGTCCTGTAGCTTAGTGATTAGAGCACTTGCCTCGCAAGCGAGAAATCTGGGTTTGATTCCCGGGCAGGGCGAAATGTTGGGCAAGTTTCCTTACTCCATATGCCTCGGTTTACCTAACAGTAAGCAGGAACTCGGTTGTTAGTCGATAGCCAGATCACTTTTCCGAGGGGAATAAGCCCTTCAATAAAAAAAAGAATTTGGTCACTCAATCCACGACTGTATGTGGGACACTGCTGTGTGCAATTGATTACTGCTTTTCGCCCACAAACATACACTCAATTCACTTTACAGTATATCCTGTGAAGCGCTTTGAGACATCTACAAGATGCGATTAGACGCAAGAATTATTGTTATCATTATAAGATATAAAAGGATAATCTGCATCCTTGCAGAGGATCATCTCTGCTGGATTACTGCGCACACATTACTACTTATTTTAATAAAAACAAAATACCGAACCAAGCACACTCCACTGCTGCTTTTCTGAAACAATGATTTATTTAACAGCAAATAGATTCTACGCAATGGATTCAGATGTCAAACCATGAGCACAAAACTAAAGTGTTTTATAATCATCTGCATCCTAAGATTAGCTGACAGCTTTAGAGAAAATCCACAGCATTCTCTAGTACATTGGGAAATAGTTCACACGAGTTACTCTAGCCTCTTCTAGTACCTTTCGCAACTGGGCATAATCCAAGAACAGGTTGGAACGCTCATAGGCAATGCTTCTTCCACCTCCAGCCTTCGTCCTCTTTTCCCCTTCTCTCACCCCATCACATCATCACATAGATTTACAACAGCACAAGAAACAGGCCACTTGGCCCAACCAGTCCGTGCCTGTGTTTATACTCCACTCACTCCTTACTCTCCCCCACACCCTTCACAATTCACTAGGTAAACAATGGTGTGAATGGAAGTAAAACCACACACCCCATTGGCATCCAAATTGCCCTCCCACAGTCCAGGAAGGCCTGATGTCAATGCCCTTGGGAAGAGGCGATAGATATCTGCACACCCTGTTCCAGGCGAAGTGGAGCTGCCCGTACTGAGGGGAGTTGGAATTAATGGTGGAGGTGTATTAAGATGGAGGTAGACAGGGATGTGCTCATTTGCTGCGCTTTGGGGTGAGGAGGAAGGAGAGGAATAGAGAAGGCATGAGGGGCTTGAAGAATCAAACTACATGAGTCCTGTAGTGGTTAGAGCACTCGCCTCGCAAGCGAGAGACCCGGGTTCGATTCCCGGCAAGGCCAAACCTTGGGCAAGTTTCCTTACTCCACGCGCCTGATAATAACCCCTCAAGAAAAGTAGATAAATAATAATTTGGTCACTCTATCCACGACTTTGTGCCTTCAATTGGCTGCCGCGTTTCACCCACAAACATACGGTCAATTCACTGTACAGTATGTCCTGTAAAGCGCTCGGAGACGTCCGGAAGACGTGATCAAACGCAAGGATTATCATTGATTATAATCGCGGAAATTTACACCACGGAAAGGAGGTCATTCAGCCCATCAGGGTCTGCGCCGGCTCTCACAGCGTCCATTCAGTTCCAGTGCTCCGGCCCATCCCTACGCCTCCGGGTTCCGGCCACAGTCGCTCCACCTCGCAGTGCCCCCCGTGAGGCGAGCGCCAGCCGTCTGGACCACGTGACGAGGGCATGGACCACGGCACGCGTCGCGGTCGCGGATGCGTTATACCGCGGGGGCACCGCTCCTCTGCCCCCACCGCCCCCTCCCCCCCACACACCGGCCCTCCCTACCCCCCACACACCGCCCCCACACACACCGCCCCCACACACACACACACACCGCCCCCACACACACACACACCGCCCCCCCACACACCGCCCCCCACACACACCGCCCCCACACACACCGCCCCATTGGGGGCTCGCACGCACGTCCATTGTGGGGGTGGTAGGGGTGCACATCCTAAGGGGGGGGGGGGAGGGGGGAGGTGCACGTCCCTTTACGTCCTCACGTCCCTTTACGTCACCCTCACGTCCCCCCTCACGTCCCCTCCCCCACACGCCGGGCGGGAAGGCCCCGTTACCTGACAGTTGGGCCGCGGCCTGTCCATGGCGGCGGCGGCGGCGGCGGCGCGGGGGAAGCCGTGGAGCACGGAAGCCGTGCCCGGAGCCGCGGCGGCGCTGCCCACATGAGGGCCCCGTCCCTTCCCTTCCGCCCGTCAGTCCCTCCCCTCCCTCGGCCGCCGGCTCCGCACTCACGCTCTGCGCCTGCGCGGCCCTCACCGCACGCTCTGCGCCTGCGCGGCCCTCACCGCACGCTCTGCGCCTGCGCGGGGGCTGGCCGGCTTCCCGCGCCTGCGCGTTCCGCCCTCGAGCCGGAGAGGCCCCTGTCTGCGCCTGCGCGGCTCTCTCACTCACCTGTGTGAGGGGGTTGGGTGGGGTTCAGGTTGACAAGAGCCCCCTGGGGTGGGGGGGGGGGGGAGGGGGAGGGGGTCACTGCTGGAGTCTGATCGGCTCGTGTCGCCTTCGCTCACTCGACCCACGACCGACCCGTCTGTGGGGGGTGTGGGGGGCGGCGACGCCTCTGTGCACGATTGGCTGCCGCCTTTCGCCCACAGAAACGCACAGTCACTACGCTTCGCGGTACGTTCTCTGTGAAGCGCCTTTGAGACGTAATGAGGCGCTGTAGCGAATGCACGGATTATTACTATTGTTACTATTATTATTACATCGTGCCTTCAGCTCCCCTCTCGCCCATCTCCCCCCTCCTCGCTCCCTCCCCTCCCCTCCCCCTGACCATCTCCCCCCTCCTCGCTCCCTCCCTCCCTCCCCTCCCCCTGACCATCTCCCCCCTCCTCGCCCCCTCCCTCCCCTCCCCTCCCACTGACCATCTCCCCCCCTCCTCGCTCCCTCCCTCCCCTCCCCCTGACCATTCCCCCCTCCTCGCTCCCTCCCTCCCCTCCCCTGACCATTCCCCCCTCCTCGCTCCCTCCCTCCCCTCCCCCTGACCATCTCCCCCCTCCTCGCTCCCTCCCTCCCTCCCCTCCCCCTGACCATCTCCCCCCTCCTCGCTCCCTCCCCTCCCCTCCCCCTGACCATCTCCCCCCTCCTCACTCTCTCCCTCCCCTCCCCCTGACCATTCCCCCCCTCCTCACTCCCTCCCCTCCCCTCCCCCTGACCATCTCCCCCCTCGCTCCCTCCCTCCCCTCACCTCCCCCTGACCATTCCCCCCCCCAAGGCTCGGGTCCCGACCCAACTGTCCAGCGCCTTGGGATGTCCTCCCGACGTGAAAGGCGCTCTATAAATGCAATCTTGTTGTTGTTGTTGTAGAAGTAAAGGCTGCTTTTTTTCACGTCTTACGAGGTAAAGCGAGGCTCGGATCCACCAGGGTACCTGTTCCGGCCGTCGACCAGTCAGCTGACGTGTAGAGTGTGGGGTGTGTTAATCGTAGCATCAACAGTAAGGCCTCGGATGTGGAGTTTGAATCCACAATTTTGTGACCTGGACCCAAGAGTGCTACTAACTGAACCAGGCTGACCCCCCCCCCCCCACCCCACTATGACTTATAGGGTGCGGGACGGAGAGATTTGGCAGGATTATGGAGACACAAACTTGTTGTCTTGAGCTGAGTGGCATTGCGCGGTGACGCGATGAGCTGGAAATATGCACAGACAGGTCCCGAGACCCTAATGACAGTGGAGAGATAGGCTCCTGACATCTGCATCTCGAACCATAACCATCAACCCACAAATCAAGGGAACCACAGGGTTGAACACTCATCCTCATCGTATAATTTCCTGAGGACAACATTTCCAATTGCAGCCAAAACACTTACCAATCGGGAAGCAAAGGAAGCTGAGGAGGAGGCCTCTTTGGGAAGGGTGCAAGGCGAAGGCGAGAGATTTCCAGAGATGGGGGCAGAGTGACTGAAAGCTCAGCCGCAGACGGCGGGACAGTGAAGGGGTGAGCGAACCATGCGATAAGTCCGACTGGGCCGGGCAATCATATAGCAGGAGTTCACTGAGGTATGCAGTGACTGTAAAACATTCACCTTGAAGATCAACATCAACCTGTGCTGGTAACCAGGCAACAATGCTGCCGAATAGGTCCCCGTATCCAGTTTATCCTCATCGTGGGGTCTGTCGCAATCACATGGAACCCAAACTGGTAGCTTCTGAGCAAAGAAGCTTCGGAGTTCCTTCCGTCCGCTGTTATTTTTGACTTCAATGTTCTTCCCTGAATGCGGGCCACAGTTCTATTGTGTCTGTGGTTGCAACTGTCATTCCGTTTCTGTCCACGTAACACCAGCCTTTTGGGAATACTGGACTAAGGCTGTGCTTTTATAGCCTGACTAGACTAGTTTACACAACCACCGATAGACGGTCAGTCACTCACTCACCGGCTGAGCACACAATGAGCTGTTTGTGGCGACGCACTATGCCTTTTAGAGTTTGCGAAACAGCAGGATGGTAACTGACATCTTTTCGGTCGAGCATAGTGTTTTTCAGAAGTGTCCTCTTTCAAATCAGATGTTATAAATAATAATCCTCGCATTTGATTATAACACCTTATCATCCCATTGAGGGCTGATGCAGGGCTTGGACCCACAACCAACCTTACATCAAATTTAAGCCAAGTCCTGTCGAATCCCTTGGGACTGCTTGAAAAGAGAAGAGAGTGTTTTTCTCCTGGAGTCCTAGCCAACAATCCACCAGATACAACTGGTCACTCACCTCCTGGCTATTTGTGGGATATTGCTTTTTGCAAATTGGCTGCACTTTACAGCAATTCTCTGCGAAGTTCACTGTATTAAATGCAAGGATTATTATTGTAGAACAGAAGGGCACTGCCAGAGTGTGAAGCTAAACACTTGCTCTTGAGATAACACTTTATTACATTGAAATGGTTCAAAGTGCTTCTCACACCTTTGAAAGTGTAGGAACCGTTTTCATTCAGGCAAACACGGTAACTAATGTGTTGCCAGGAAAATGCCGCAAACAGAAACAACAACAGTTTACATTTATATGGCGCCTTTCACGTGGGGAGGATGTTCTCAAAGCGCTGAAAGCAATGAGGTAGATGAATGAACGGTGAATAAAAATTTCTCTCTTTGAACGTTCATCCTTCCCCTCTCCTCCCCCCCACCCCCAACTCATCTCGGGTGCCCAGCGAACAGCATCAAGTGCTTTTAAACATCCTCCCGATGTGAAAGGTGTTGGTAATGTAAATTGTATTGTAATACTTCTGTTCCTGCAGCACAGAATCCAAAACTGTTATAACACGGCGATTCGACTTTTCACCCACAAAATACACAGTCACTCCACTTTATAATATATCCTGTGAAGCGCTTAGAGACGCCTCAACTATGTGATAAGGCGCTAAATCAATTTATTATTATGAGGCCAACAGAGACAGCAGCTGAAGGGGATACAGATCCTACACTACTGACTAATAACCTGCAGGTGGCAATAGCAGCCCAGTGTTGCAAAGGGACATTTAAATAAAAGAATAATCCTTGCCTTTGCCTTTTATGTCGGGAAGACATCTGTAAGCGCTTCCTGGGATTTACAGTAAAGTGTAATCACTGTGTATTTTGTAGGCGAATAATGTAGGCGTTTAATAACACACACATTTTACAATAACAGTGGGGAAAATTAAACACAGCGTCAGTCACCTCGATAAACAACAGAGGGCACTTGCTCATCCGAATAATATGGTCTCTTTCTGTCTCTCTGTGAAGTGCCTTGCATTTAATCCAGAGAATCCTCTTCACAGCAGGTCCAGCAATTTCCTTTTAATAATACAAGTAATAATCACCCTTGCGTCTGAAACATCGTCTTATTACATTGTTGAAACATCTCAAAGCGCTTCACAGGGATTACTGTAAAGTGTAGTGACTTGTTGTGATGGATAACTCCCGTCACTGCTTTTTATGGTCATTGGCGCTCAACCTGCGTCTATAGAGGAGCAGATTTTTTTTTGGGGGGGTGACTCGATAAAAGTGTCACAATCAAGGGATCCCAGTGTCACTATTAATGGGGTTTAAATCAATCCAGATACAGCCATTAAACAGGGTGCTGCTCGTGAAGATTTACTGGGTCTGGAAATGCAAGGGAACTGGATGAACGTTAAAATTGATAGTCTCTTTGAGCTCCCAGTCTGGGCTGACGTTCCATTGTCAGCCGGAGTTGTTCGGCTTGTCTGTTGCAGAGTAAACCCCATGACAATTAGGAGCAAAAAGAGGCCATTCGGCCCTCGAGCCTGGTCTAACATTATACTAGGTGAAGGCTGACCTTTGTGATCACACCCATTCGCTGCCTCCTTCCCTTTTATCTCTCTCAGGCGTCAGTCAAACTATTTATTTACATAGACGCCCATGAAAAAATTATACCAATTGTTTAATTTGTGTTGATATCAAGCCTTACACCATTGCAGTCATTCATTTGCACCCACTCACAGACTAAAAACACTTCATCAAGATCACAATAATTACCCCACAGGGATCACATCAGTGAATGCTCACGCTCTGCACACAAGATTACAGAGATTGCGTCTTACTGACACAGTGAGTGCAGGTTAAACTGCTGACAGCTCTCATCTCACACTGCCGTCTTAGCTCTGCCAGAAAGTGCAGCAAAACAGCCTCACACTCACACTCGTCAGCACCTTTTGCCTGGGGTGGTCATCTCAAAGGGCTTCCCATTCAGGCTGATTACTGGGCAGGTAACAAAATAGGGGCTATTCAGGGCCTCAACATCTCTGCCCTGCCTGGTTTACCAAAACACAGTCCATCAACAATAACAACAACAAATGACATTTATACGGCATCTTTCACGTCGGGAGGACGTCCCAAGGCTCTGGACACTCGACGATTTGGACCCGAGCTGGGGTTGGGATCAGGAGGAGTGGAGGGCACGGAGGGTAGGGGTAGGAGGGTGACCGAAGGCACAGTCGAACAGGAGGGTCTTGAGATGAGCCTTGAAGAGGGCAACGGAGGAAGAGAGGCACAGGGACTGTTGGGATGGAGTTCCAGAGGGTCGGGGCACAGAGGCTGAATGCCTGACAGGCAATGTTGGCGTGGGTCGGGTGGGGGGACGTGG